CCAGCGGAAACTTGGAGCTTGTCTTGCCTGTGCGATGTTGTGTTCGTTTTACTGAGAGCTCGCTCGCTGATGGGCGGCGAGGATTTCGTTGAGATCTGTTTCCTGAAGCCCCTAGTGACTAGTTCTATGCTCACCGATTCGGTTCGGAGGCATGAGCTCTCGGTCCGCAGCCGTATTTGGATGCTGAGGGGACATATAATGTTTATATATATATATATATATCTACGTAGCCGAATCGGAACTGCACTGACCCAAATACTTATGTGCCCCCAAGTATAGCTACCTCTAGGTTCAAGAGTCGCTGAATCTACAGTCAGGATGAAGGTATATTCCACTCCCTCGAAGTCCAGACATGGCAGGCTGTCGATGCCTCTCAGCTTCAGGGCGCCTGAGCGCGGGCGGCCGCGACTGGCAAACAGCCGCTCTTGACAATGCTTCTGGACGAGGAAAATGGTGGCGAGTTGTCTTCCTCCAAACCCCCAAAACCATCCCAAACCCCTGTTGTCCTGAGTCGCGGGAGCTGGCATGCAAAGTTCTGCCAGCCGCCCTGAACCCCCAAGCCCAAAATTCGTCAGCCCCGAACCCCCCTAAATCCTAAGACCGTAAACTCGAAGCCCCGAGTGGGAAAATGGGCCCGCAAAAACGGCAGACCAGAACCTCTCTCTCGCGTGGATCATTGCGCTGCCTGTTTTCAGACCTTGTCTGGGTTGCCCGAGTGAGTCTCAAGAAACCCTGCGACTTCTTTCATCTGGGCGGGATGAGGAAAAAGCCTCCAAGCCCGAGAGCCAAAAAGCTTCGGCCGAACCTCGAGGTGCGCGACTTGCGCGGGGACCTCAGTCTAACTCGGGTCCTCGACTCTTCGGGATGCGGGGTTCAGAAAAGGAGTGTGCATGAAATCGTTTGTTCCGGTGTTTTTAGAGCATTAGGTAGGAATTGGATGGTTACTCGTCAAAATGGGGTTAACTGAAGTAGAGTTTCTAAACTTCGCTCCCCAATGTGCAGCATGTCATGTTTGTGATCCGGCTTCTTGTTGCTTTACTTTATTTCGGTTCGGATTTAGCGCTGATTTCAAAGCTGTTCTGCAAGCTTCAGTTTGGCACTAGGATTCGAAAATCACAAGACAATTGTTCTTCTGAAAGTCATCTCTTCGATCGCCCCAAAATCCTGGACAGTTGTCCCACTCAGCAGATGCCGTGTGCATACAGTGCTCTCTTCGATAGCTTCACTTTACACGCACACTGAGGCAAGAATCTGGAGAATGCCGAATCAACGCGGGACAAGCTCTCATCGGAGAAGGCTTGGGGCCAGGGCTATGTGTTACAAGACTGACGAAGGAAACCGAAGACGCGTGCAGCCCCCGCATGGAGCGGCAAGCATCCGGAATCCGACGGTGTGTTGAATCATTTTGAATCTGCACGCTCCAGCTCTTATGTTGGCCAAAGGCGGGAGAAGCACAGGCTCCCCTAAATCCCATCCCTCGGTTCTGTTTCAAGGACACCCTGCAGATTCGCTGCTCAGAGATGGAGACGCGCTCTAAGAAGGCCCGCTGAAGCTTGGCATCCCAGTGCCCTGCGTTGCAAGCAAGCTTCTCCCGAGACGCCTTCGAATACTTGCATTTCATATCCCATCTTGGGAGGACCGATATCAGTCTGACGAGTCTCACAAGCAGCAGCTCTGGCAGCAGAAGGTTGCTTGCTGACGACATGGTGCCATTGATGCAGGTTTTTCCTCGGAACTGGCGACTGTGTTTCGTGCACTTGGGTAGTTCGGGTGTCGCCCCTGTGGCACTTTCTTGTAACAGTGAGGCCAGCATGGACGCTGCTTTATGCCGGCAGCGTCTCTAACTTCAGAGCCCAGAAAAGTTCAAGCACGAAGGAACCTCGACATCCTCAGCAACCTCGAACGCATGGAGAAGCAGGCGGAAGTCGGGCAGATTCAAGTGGGTCAGAGCTTGAGAGTCGGGCAAGACAGCGAATTCGAGCAAGGATGTCAGAAGCTGCAGGCTTTTCGACCTGTCTTCCAGATCCCGAGCATCACGCAGTAGCCCGCAAGTTTCGGCTGAGCTTGAACGAGTCACAGGGATAGTGACAACAGCAAGGGAATACCACCAATGATGCCAAGCACACAGGCAAGCCTTTGTTCTTTGGTGGTGGGCTGGTTTGGGGATGTTGGTGAGACCCGAACGGGATCGCAGAAATGTGTGAAGATTCTTGTCCTCACACAGTTGGCCCGGGTGACGAGAGACTCTTTGTGGTGACAGGTCGAGGCTTTGCGGAAGCAGGACCGTGAAACCAACGCAGAGCTGGCGAAGCTGCCAGGGACTCGGGTGTGACAGAACTGAGCTTCGTTTAGATTTTCGGCGCCACTATGGCCGAAGTCGGCTATGATACCCCGCGACTGCTGCACCATGTTGGTGGGCTAAGCCCTTGTCGGGTTGGAGACGAATGCCGATGATTCGCCGAGGCAGCATCAGGTGAAAGATCAGGAGCAGCGGAACAAAATGGTCGAGGCACAAGCTACCAAGTCTAGTGCGAGGCGATTCTGCGAGGGTTTCCAGACATGCATCCTCGAAGCATCAGGGCCTGAGAGTCTAAGACTCTCAACCAGCACATCGCACACCCAACACAACACGAGGCTCAGCTCAATGCCGAAAGGGCGCGTGACTCAGAGTTTGAGAGGAGACACGCCCGCTGAAGTCTCATCATCTCTTTCGCTCCTCTTCTTCGGAGTGGAGTGCAAGCTTCTACTTGCAAGCCTGCTTCGTCTGCGCTCTTGATTTCTTGATGATTCTCGGCCTTGCATGAGTTCTGAAGCCAGCGGACCGCTAAGGTCAAGAACGCCAATCTCGCCCCTCGGGAGGAGTTCGAGGCGCAGTCTCGGCCGGTTTCTGGCGTTCACTGGGCTGACACATGTGAATTTCTTGACATCAAGGGGGTCTCCATAGCCAGGATGGTCGATTTTCGGCATCTCTGTCGCCTGAACTTAGGGGTACTTAGAAATAATTTTTAATCTTTGGCTACTATAAACCCTAAGAAGCAGCTAAAATTATAATTTTTGCTAGGGGTCTAAGTTCAGTATAGTGAACCTACCAGTCCCAGTCGCTTGGTCGGAGAATGCGACGGAAAGGCGAAAGCCAAGGATTCAACCAACTGCGGCTTACGCTGAATCCACGGTCAAGCATAGATCATGGAGCAACTGAGCGGATTTAGGCCCACCACCGCTCCGAAAAGAGGAGTTCCTTGCCGGACACCTCACAGTGTACAGCAAATGCAGGGTACTCTTGAACCCTATCATCGCCTAAGCTTACTTTTTCTTCTGATGACTGTATGGAATACTTTCGAGTCCACTTCCTTGAGTCCCCTAGTCCTGAGTGCCTGCTGAAGCAAACATGTGCTTTGGTTTCGGGCTCCCCTATGTGCCTGATGCTTCATTCACTGCCGGTGGGTTTTGACGAAGGACCCCTACTACAGAACGAAGAGTTGCAGGCTCTAGGTTAACCACAAAACTCCACCCCAACCCCCTGCTCTTGAGCCCTACGCGAATTCCGGTAGCTTTGTGAGTTTTTCGGCAATTCAGGCGGCAAAGGAAGAGATCCGAGCGGCCAAAGCGAAATGTGCGAAGCTCAGCCGAGGTTCTAGGCGTTCCGAGTATTCGGCTTTGGACGGCTGCTAGGGTTTAGGGTTTAGGGTTTGTCATCGCTGTGGCGGGCAGCTTGGAGGCACTTCAGAGAGACCTCGTTCAAAAAGGGTTTAGGGTTTAGGGTATGTATGTATGTATGTATGTATGTATGTATGTATGTATGTATCATATGTATCTGTACCACGGGTTGCGGTGTAGGCTTTGGGGCTTTGTGTCGAGGATAAAGGTTCAGAGCTTAGGCCTGGGAATGTAGATCAAATTCGTGGTTGCCCTTGGTCTACACCTCGAATGCCACAAGGATGACACCGCTTCCGCGCCGCCTGATGTCGCATGGGTGGCTTGAGTTGAAGCTGGCACACATGCCGGGTTCGAGGCAAGGTGCGAAGCCCTAAAACCTTTCCTTCCGATTTGAACCAGCCTCGCATGCAGAGTCCTAGTTGCGAGAGCACGCTTAAACCTGAGCCTAAGCGACGCACAGTTTGCACAATCCCGTGGGCCTTTTGAAGCTCCGAGGTCTCGAATGGGAGGAAAGGCGCGAGCCTCGAACTCCCACACCAAAGATGTCAATGAAAAGTGGATCTACCCTCCGTTGCGCTGTGGCCTTTGCACGTAGCGCAGGGCGGCACCTGAATACCGACTCTGGCTGCCGAGGTATGCCGCAAAGGAGAAGGACTCCGGGATCTCTCCCGCTTTGGTACGTGATCCGGGTGAAGATGCCCTGGCCTCCACGACCCCAGAAAAGTTCGTCTTGGCCCTGACCCCAAACGCAGTAAGCCCTGAAGCTTTGCGAGTGTCAAATCTCTCAACCTTCAAACTTGATCCCGCACAGGACTACCAGAACATCGTGGAAGCTTACAAGAACGTCAGCGGCCACGACACTGGCGGAGTAGAGGCATGGAGAGAACGTCTAGAGTAGTTTGGCTTTAGGAGGTTAAGTACGCAGAGAGGTGTTTAGAGTCAAAAAGCCTTCGCCATGAACTCTACCATGCCGCAACTCTGTTTTGTAGAGTTTGTGCGAAGATCAGCAAGCGAAGGTTCAGGGCAATTCCTGCCTCAAGCATTTTAGGTTTAATACATTCCCTATTTGATAATCATGTTGGAGAAAAGCCCGCAAGTTGCTTTGTGACTGCAGCCTTTCAGTCGTGTCTGCGCGTGCGCAGGCGAGACCCCTCACGCCACGGCCCTTCTGGTCGCACTGCCGAGGCGCACGCGCGCGAGAGAGAGAGAGAGAGAGCAAGAGAGCAAGTTTGGGCTTGTCCTCCCTTACCCCTAGCCCTGGTGAAAGAAAGAGCAAGTTTGGGTCCCTTGGTCTGGGGCCTTTGAGCTCTGTACTTATCGACTTGTTGTCAAGAACTCACAGGGGGCACGAGCGTCCGGGCCATAGGGCAGCCAGTCTACCTGAGCAGGCGTTCTGGACCCAGATGCCCTGCGGACCATGCAGCAGAGCGAGCTGCTGCAGGAGTGCTCCTTCATGTCATGGAGTCGGGCTGGGCCGTGAGCCAATCGAAGTTGCACTTCGTAGCAACGTCCTAGGGCCTTGAACGGTTCCAGCACGGCTGCGAACATGATTTCCGGAAGGTATGACTTTAAGTAGCTCCCCATGTCTGCGGGGTTTCCGCAGGCGGGGGAGGCGATTTTGATGTAGTGAGGACCTGGTCGTGCGGGTCTTGTCCACAGCCAGGTGCACCGAGGGGGCCGAGCTTTCCTGGAGGTTTTGAGATCTTCTAAGGTCTTTGGGATGATGTCGGTGTCTGTCTGAAAGGTGCCCCAGATCCCCATGCAAACCAAGCGTGCCTTGAAGCAAGATCATTGATTGCCATTGTGCTCCCCTTCCGAGTGTCCGGACGTGAGAGTACCAACGTCGCGACCTTTCGATTGCGAGCCAAGTGTTAGTCCAAACTAGTTCCAGAGACTCCATCATGTGGGGTCCCCTTTGTTGAACAAGGATCCCTGCTCGGGCCTCTGACTCCTGCAATATTCCCTAAACCCCGAACTCCGGAACTATGCCATAAATCAAAGCCTCGTCGGTTCAGGAGTAGTAGACAGATTAAAAGAGCCAGACAAATCGTAAGATGGCTTCTGGTGCCTTTTCGCCCCGCTGGGTTGCAGGCAGCTCCTAGCTGCATACGGTCTGCACAGTGCGGCCCAGAAGTGGGGGCCCTGTTTCGGTGGCAATTATTGGGCTCCCCAGCCCATCCCAGCCCTTCTTGTGATTCTTGTGTCAGTTACGGGTCCTGATAGATTTTGTGCATGATACTCAGGTAAGGGTGCCCGAGTTTAGAACATTCCTGGAGGTCTTCTTGTGCACCCTCCCTCATGCGCCTGCTTCAAAGGTCACTGGTCTTCGCGAAGTTTGCCAAGCAGCTTGGGTCGGCATGATTGAAGAATATTAGAACTCCCCATAGCCAGCGCGTGTTACTGCTACAGGGTTTCAAATTTCCCCAAACACCGTGTGTGTGGAGGCCTGTGCCAGTCGAGCAAGTAATCTTTGTTTCTCCTGTAGAATCCGTATATCATCCAAACAAGTTGTCCTTTGGTTCCCGTAATTAGGATTGTTGACAGGTAGGGGGTCAGGCAAGAGATGTGTCTGTGGATTCTCTGGCCCAAGACCGCGGAAGCAAGCGCCCCACCCGAGGCATCCGACCACCGTGCCTTTGGTTCCTCGGCCTGGTTCGATACTTTACCTTTTGGCAGGTCTTACTTTCGGATTCGCATTCCCAAGCCCCAAACCCAAATATTGCTGTCGTGCGCCAACCCCGCCGATGTCTGCTCGTTGTGTATGTCCAATTTCTTTCTCTGGAGTTGGGGTGGTCTTTCGTCTCAGGAGCGAGAAGACCGTTGGCCAGAAACGGTAAGGCTTAACTGATCTCTTGAACACTTTTAGATTCACCAAAATATAGGGGACCCGAGTATTGACTTAGCAAACCTTACTTGGTAGGAATCCTCACTACAAGTATGCGGCAACAAGTTGCCCCTAGCTACATGAAGCCGCATGGAGCACTTGTTCTGCCCTTCAAACCTGGGGCAGCTTTCGGTTCAGGTCTCCGAGTCTGCCTTGGCTGTGGGTGACAGGCCCGGCGGAACATTTTGGAGGATTTGTTGGTATGGTAGTATGGTAGAGGACACCCTGAAACCTGAAACTACTAAACCCAGCCGTACCCAGAACTCGAGACTACAAGCCGCACGAACCCAAATCTCAGCTCAGCTTGTCCTGAGCGAACGAATCGCAGCTTACTCAGCTTGTTGTGTGTGGGCAAAATCTCAGCTCAGCATGTTATGGGTGGGCAGATCTCAGCTTGTTACTCAGCTTATTGTAGGTGAACCAGTGTCAGCTTGCTCAGCTTATCGTAGCGGTTGAGGATTGGCAAATCTCAGCTATCTCGGCTTGCTGGGGGTGGGCAGACTCGTTCACTTACAACAAGCTGAGAAAGTTGCGAGTCCTGGAAATGCGGCAAACTTCACGGTGGGAGAGCTGTCGCCAGGCAGAAGACTCCGCAGCAGGCGTCGGAGAACTTGCGACCTGCAGTGAGCTCGTGAAGAGCCGTCTTCTTCTCGCCAGGGCAACCCAGACGAGGGCGGCAAGGACGAGCAAGGCCTCCGCCGACGGAATTCCTTCACCCAGGCGAGTCCAAAGGGTCGAGGGCGAAAACCGCAGGTAGACCTTTGTTTCGGTGACCGAAGACGACGTGGCGGGTCTCGGCTCACAGCTCAAAGCCGCGCTGAGGATCCGAGAGTAAACAGCGCCATGGCGACCGTTTCTTTGCAGCTGCAGAACCAGCCCCCGGGCCCCGACTCGGACCGACTTGCACTTTTTGTGTCCTTAAAGACTTCGACTTTTGGTGGGGGAGCGGACCTCCTCTCAAGGATTCCCTGAAGCGGAGAGAGCTCTGAGGTTTTCCGGTCCCACGGTTCCACGCCGACTGCATGAGTCGACTCTCGGCCTAAGACGAAGAGGAAGCAGCGAGCCTCCTCCGAGCCCCTGGCCGGCCCTGGCCCAAACTTGGGCTTCCTTTCAGGTTACCTGCTGCTCTCGACCAGCGGCTCAGCCCCGAGGAGTACCAGGCACTGAAGGAGCGCGTGGACCAGGACCGGAGCCGAGCCCAGGGAATCACAAAAAACCTCCCAGGCATTCTTTTGTGGGCATCGTACTTCTGCAGTAACATCGCACGCCTGCTAGAGTCTAGCCTTGGACCATTGGATGGAGGTTAAGGTGTTGCATCGTGACTTTTTGGTGTTTAGGGGTTTGGTTTGGTTCTTATATCCATCCATCGGCCCTTCACTCCAGCAGTTACAGTAATTGAAGAAATCGCATTGCAAACCCCCATCTGACCTCGCCTGTGAGCATAGTTCTCTGCCTTGCGAGAGGGGACAAGTTCTGGTGGCATTTGGGTCCGGGGCTAGTCCATGCAGCCCTACGCCCGATACCCCAAAGACGAGACCTGAAACCCCGGAAAAAAAACAAGGTGTCAATCCCGAAGCAGACCTCGTCAGTGAGCACTGGTCTCAGCAAAGCGAGAGGGGAAAGACGAGGTTTCAAGGCGACTCTAAGCAAGATGGGAAACGTGCTAAACAAGAGAGCCCTCCATAGTCTAGGGCCTAAGAGTACATGGACGGAATTGCTTCCCGTGTTCGGGCAGAGCCAACTGGTGGCAGGAGCTGTTACCCATTGCGGAAGCTGCCCGAGGCATGCTGCCTTTGGGATACCTGTCCCTTGGCATTTCGGCTTTGGCGGGCACAGGGCCTGAACTGGAGCCTCACTTCAGATGTCACAGGCCGATGGTTTCGAATCAGGGTTGCACCCTCAGGGTCAACTTTGCCAGCACCAAGCTTGCGGAGCCCAAGCAAGCCCGAACCAGCCCAGGCTTTGTGGAGTGCAGCTGTTGAACGTGCTGATTCTTGGTGTACTGGTGTGCCTTGATGTGTTCCTGCTGGACGAGGCTGGAAGCTTGTGCTGCCTACAGGTTCCGAAATCCGGGCTTCCATTGCGAGTGGGTTGTTTCAGGCATTCGATGCCTCAGCAACCTCAATTGTCTCACGCCTCATGCCCCAATCGGAGACCTGCATTCCCGGAAGCCAAGCACCGTCCAGGTAAGCCTCTACGTGGCGGAAGGCATCTTGGCCGTGGTGGTCACAAGCATCGTCGCCGCCTGGCGTGAACGGTCTTTTCTCGGTCTTATCGTTAGAGTTTCAGGAGCTCAGAAATCGCCAGAGGAAAAGGAGGGAGGGAAGAGCAAAGAGAGAGGTCCAGGCAGAAGAGTGAACCTTCCGGATGCTTCCCTTGTGGCAGGTGCTGGGCATCCTGTGGCTCTACAGCCGTCTGAGTAGAGTCGTCTACGAGGACGGGGGGGCAGCAAAGGGCAGCAACGCGCAGAGCTTTCCATGGATTCCCTCGCATCTTCGCAGGCGGAGACGGCCCTTCGCGCTGCCTTGGCAGAGGAGAGTCCCTTTAAAAGACCTTGAGTTTCAGACTCAGATAGGCCATGTCGTCGCTCTCTGCCCGAAAGGAGTGCGCCAAGATGCCGCTGACGCTGCAGTGCCTCCACCGAAACTCGGGAGATCTCGAGAGTCTGAGTCTGTCGTGCATCCTCACTCCTCGCCCTAACTCTTTACTGCCCGATGCTCGGTCGTGCTGCTGTTTTGCACCTGGCAGGTTGAGTGTCCAACCTCGTGTCTGGCATCTGCCGCAGCTTGGCATAGACCGAGCTGAATATCAGGTCTTGCTAAGTGCGTGTACAACGGAGAGAGCGCGAACGAGCGGTCTCAGCACACATGAGTCCTCCTTTGAACATCTTCTTCAGTGTTCGGGCGGTCAGGATCTTTGACATCTCGGTGGCTTTCGGGGAAAAGGTCGCTGCAAGTGTGCCCGCGGGGAAGCCCAGTTTCTCTTGCCTCAACTTGGGTGCAGCGAGAGAGAGCCCCGGAGAGAGAGAGAGAGAGAGGGAGAGCACAGGCAAACCCCTACACCATAGCCCTGGCGAAAGAAAGAACACAGGCAGTTACGCACGAACCGATCGCTTTGCCCTGGAGGTCCTAGCATACTTCATCCTGCTTGTATGCCGTAGGGTTTGCTTTGTCCTTTTTGTGCGAATCATGCCTTTTTCGTGCACGCACGTCTAAACTCTTGGCACCCGCAACAAGCGGGGGCGCACTCGCGCGCGGCGGGGAGGCAACTCCTCACCACAGCCCTGGCGAAAGAAAGAAAGAAAGACAAGAGGGGGACCCTCACATCAGCTGGGTGCATGGGGGAGAAAGCGGTATGCGTAGTTTTCAGACCCGGCCCGTGAGCCCGACAAACACTGGGGGGCCCTGGCGGCCGGGCTTGACACGCTCCCTCGACCCTGTGGAAGAAGAGAGAGAGAGAGAGAGAGAGGGCCTAGTGGCCGTCGTACGCCACCCCAATGCCCGGCAGAAAGAAGGACAGAACACCTTCAACAAAAGGGCAACAGAAAGGCCGAGAGGGGGGGTTCCCTCGTTTAGAGTCTAGAGGTGTTTGTTACAGTGTTGTGTACTCCGGCCTTTCTGTAGTGAGTGGAGCGGCCACCGCGACGCGGTGTGCATTCGCACGCGAACGGGTTCGCGCCCTTCCTGTTTGTGTCGAAGAAGGGAGAGAGACAGAGAGAGAGAGAGAGAGAGGGAAGAGCATGAGAGGAAAGGAGAGGAGAAGACAGAGGGGGAGGGAGGGAGAGAGGACTGTCCGAGTCTTGCTTGCCTCTTTTGTCGGCTTGTGGAAAGAAGAGCGAGAGACAGGAGAAAGACCGGAGGGAGAGACTACAGTGGATAGAGAGAGATTGAGAGTGCGCGAACAGTCAGGAATTGTTTAGCGTGGTTGGGTTGTCTGGTGTGTCTGGAGGTAGAGCTTTGAATGGACTAACTGCCTGAACGCTGACATGAACTCAGAAGCCTCCACTGCCATAAGGCTCCACTGCAGGATCTGATTCTCGACAAGTGCTGAAGGATCCGAGGCCTCAGCCTCTTCATTGTGTGCATTCCCCTACCATCAACCCGATATAACCTCATTCGTAGCATCTCAAAGCCATGCGGGAGACAAGGAAGCATTCTCAACACTGGACTTATGTAGTTATAAGTGGGGTTATAAGTAGGGTAGCTATACTTATAACCCATATTAGGGGACTTAATTATGTAGTTATAAGTGCTTTGCTGGCCCGGGTTTTCTCGGCATTTTCGGGGGCGTCGCCGGGCGGAGCCTGGCCTTACCGGCGCCTGCGAGATGAGGGCATTAGCCTGAAAGGGCTTATGCCGTTTTGTTTAGGGACCTATGAGGAGATGATACTAAGCCTCTCTCTTCAGGATGTCATTCTTTAGACTTCACGAGGCAAGTGAGATAAACAGCCTGCTAGGGCTAGAGTGTAGGAAGTTTAGGCTTAAGCAATCTTGAGTCACAGGAACCGGATGCTAGTGAAGTCTGCAGTGCGTTTGCCTACAAATGCCTAAGAGCTTGATTTTCCTGTTTCATTTGCCTTACGGGAGGCAATGCCGGACGGTTTTATAAACGCCGGAAATGCACGTTGTGTCCTCTGGCAGCGATGACCGGTCGGATATGCCTTAGCCAGTCCTCCCAGAGTCAAGGGGACCCTAAGTCTTCCCTCAGTCCTAAACCGTAGAGACCGGAGTAGCACTGAACGAGGTGTTTAAACGCTCTGTCACCATGTACAGTCGCCTCCTGGGTGCGTCTCGACGACTCGGCTTCGGGTGCCCAGTGACCCAAACGCAGGCTTTGCTGAGGGTAGGTTGTGGGATGCTATAGGACAAGGGGCCCGGACCAGCGAACATGGAGCGGACCCAGCAGTCACCCCATTTTGGGCTGGCTGGTACCCGGTTTACTGTGGGCTGCGGCCTTCGGCACAAGGAGCCCCCCCACAAAAAAAGTTATCTCTGTATACCGTTTTCGGCCAACGTGTTGGACAACTGAATTTTTGTGGTTTTGCAAAGTATGTGAGTCTTCAAGTCTGCGAGGGGGCTTTGTTTTGATTTTGGGCGGCGGATTGTGCCGCTTTCTTCAGCCGGTGTGTTCCCAAAGGCAGTGTCACATCAGGGGTGGAGCCGTGCAAGGCCAAAAGAAGGCAGCCAGGGGCTCGCACGCGCAGTACCGTAGCGTGTTGTTTTAATTGTGTCTTCCTTCTCCGGCTCGCAGCAGTTGCGAGGCAGCAACTATGCTGCGACACAGAGGTTGTTGACATCTCACTACCAAATTTCCTAGAAGCCCTCAGTTGACCGTGTTGTGCTACTGGAGAAGGAATCACCATAGCACTATTGTATCCCCAGGTGTGTACTTTTACACACATGCGTGCATGTATGCAGACATATACGCACAGTCATACAGGCACACACGCAAAGCAATCACATACACAGTCAACACACACACAGGCACACAGACACACGCAGAGACACACAGACACAAAGGGACACAGACACACCCACACTATTTTTAAGTTTAAACAGAAAAAGAAACATAAATAGATAGACAGATGGATAGGTGTATAAATGCATACATATATATATATATATATGTGTACATACATGTATGTTTTGTTTGTATACAGATGCACAGTTTAACACGCCTACATACATATATACACATACACATACACATACACATACACATACAAATGCACATACACACACACACACACCAACCAACAAGCAAATGAACAAACACACGAACGCGCAAACACACAAGCAAGCAAGCAGGCAAGCAAGCAAGCCAGCGAGCCAGCAAGCCAGCCAGCAAGCAAGCAAGATCAAGCAAGCGTCCATGCATGTACACATTCATGCATATATTGTAGACACAAACCTGACTCGATTGATGCGAGCATGCATGTATGCATGCGTGCGTGTGTGCCTACATACGTACGCACCTATGTATGTACATACGCATGCGCGCGCACACACGCACGCATGGCACATTGGCTTTTATGTATGTTTGTATGTATGTAGGTACTAGGTATGTAAAGACTCAATTCCTGACTGCCATCTTCCGGCCTCGTGATGCCTGCATGGGACGCACCGGATACACGGGTTCTCCACAGGAAGCCTGGCCAAGTATCGTCCAAGCTAGAGTGGTCCGGCAGAAAACCCTCAGCTTAGAGGCGGCGGCTCGAAAACACAGTGTCGCATCGCAGAGGAGTTGTGGGGAGATGTCATGCGAGGTTTATGAAGGGGTGTTACGGCATGTACCTGAGCTTCCTGGCAAAAGAAAGATTCCTCGGAGTGTGGTTAGCCTTGAGCAGGCTACCTCCCCTCCGATGTCGCAAGGCACCGACCCTCCAGGGGTTCAGGGTCGACATTCAGGATGTGCTGATCTATGGCACGGTCTGAGTGGTGGAGAAACGAGTCAAGAGTGGTAGCCCTCGCGCAACCTGGCCTCTGGGGCCATTTCAGGGCAACATCGGAGAGCTTGCTCTTGTAACGGTCGGCGCACGCATGCTGCCGTGCTTTTCTTTGGTCGGTCATCTCTGAGATCGATGCCTATAGACTGCATACCACTATGCGCCGTACAAACGTGGCAGGGGATCGATCCGGTGAAGCGTTCAAGGTGCGCCGAGAATGGGGATGGCTGCGCATGGTCTCTTGGTTCGGTCTTAACCCCTGCATTCGAAGCGGTTCTACGGGCTGGATGGATTGGTTCCACATGTCTCTACATGTTTCGTTCTGGGTGACCGACAGCAAGCTTGGGATGCTGCTCGCAACGAATGCGTTGTGCTGAAGGTTCAGTCGGGAAAGGCGCGGATGTCACATGACTGAAGTCAGGTGAAGGCAGAGAGCGCAGAGATTCCCTGCACATCTTGCACTGTCGCATGTTGTGGAGGTCGTGAGCAGGTTACACTGGCCTCACTGGCCTTCGCTGCACAGCCGTTCAACACTACTTTGATGTCAAACCCAACCGCAGGATGATGCTCTGGTCCTGAAGTTGAGTTTTTGTGAACTTGACCCAGCCTTCCCTTGCATTGAAGACCCCATAAAAGCACAAGCACCGGGCACGAAGGAGGAAGAGAAGTGGCTGCCCGGGGACATGGACCATTCAACTCCTGTTCCGCTGAGGTGGCCGCATGTGAGACATTTGGTATTTGTCTAAGCTGCCATGTATCGTCAACATTTTCCTTCTCCAGATTGTGCTCTGATCGAAGAGCCCTCGCGAGTTGTGATGGCAGCGAGACCTACACCCAGAACTTCTCAGAACGCACAGGCATGCCGAGAAGATTCGGAACCAACGCTTCAGCCGCAAGAAAACTCGGGACTTTCTCGAGCCGCGGTCCCAGCAACCACCTGTCGGTCTTCTTTCGGATGGCCTTTGGGTATGGTTGGGGCGGTGTGAGGATCAAGATGGTTTGGTCCCCAAGCTGTTGCGATTGATTCCGACCCTCATGCTGGCGTCCGAGTTTCCGCTGCGAGGCGGGTTCTCCAACACCGTGTCCGCGGCGGAGCCGCTTGCAGCAGCAGCATCCCATTGCCCCCTAAAGTACGATCTAGCCCAAGATCCTGTTCCAATGTAGTCAGGTCCCTAGCCCAGCCGGAAGAAAGTGCACTCAGAACCGGTTCTGCCGCCAGGAAACCAGACCCCCGAGATTTCCAGCACTCGAGGAAGTTAGCCGTAGTTCCCAGAGAGCCCTACACTAAGAGAGAGCCAAGGACAAGCTGCTCTGCAGGCCTCCGTAGCCACCGAAAGCCGTGAGTCCTTGGTCCCCAGCTTCACATGTTCAGAGCTTCGGGATGGAGTCTGAGTCTGTGAGTCTGTGCGTGGAATCGCTTCGGTGGCTCTGTCTTGTTACCTTCTGCAGAGGTGGACCTTTTGCTTCCCACAGTCTAAATCAGGTTTCTTGCGTTGTCGCCCGGAATCACATCCGGATCGCGAACGGATTTGCCAAGAAGCTGCTGTCCTCTGGTGGCTAGTCCTATCATCGCAGGCCGTCAGTCGAATCCGCAAACCAAAGCTCAAGTGCGAACGCAGGCCTTTTGTGGAAACCATGATGGAGGTGCTTCACCAGGCGGGCCAGTGGCTCTTGAGAATTCCCGGAAGGTTGGGGGGCCCTCTGGATCCGGTTTCAGTATTCCGTACAAGCGGCCGCTGTTTGGCTCCATGTCTTTCTGTTTCGCCTCGGTTCTGATGGCATTCGAATGGAGGCCAGTGACCATGTATATTCGTAGAGCCGAAACTCATTCCCAGGGTGCGCAGTGAGATGCAAGGAACTCGGTGAGGAGGAAGTCGCAGCCTTCGCTGTGAACATCTTCGCGAGCGTTAGGACCCCGTTTTGGGGGCTTTGGGGTTCTCTTTTGAAGATGCGAGCGTTACGGTTCTATGTGGTTCGTAGGCGCCAGCCAAGATGTCCGCTCCCCACCGTCCTCGAGAGGAAGTATGCCGCCGAGCCGGACTTTCTGTGCTTCCTGCCCCTTGCACGGTTCGGGGTCGGAGAAGGTGATGTTTATGAACTTATGAGGTCTTGTTCGGCGGAATTTCGTGTAACAGCAGGAGAATCCAACACACCAGCTAGGATCCAGTCGCGATGCCACGACACACAAACCGAAGCTTAAATCCATTGCCCCAAAGTTCCGCATCTCCCAAAGCCAAGGCTCCTGATCACCGGGCAGGTCGCAGATGTTGTCGTGCCTTGGTCGCAACAGCCCGAGAGACAAAGCATCACGGGGAAGAGCATCCTTGGACTTCCATCTTCCAAGAGTTCCTCTTGTTTTGGCACGCAGCTTTGTGTGCTCTCCTTGACTTAAAGGGTCCCCGGCATTGAGCTGCAATCAGCCTCTGAAACCTCGGACCTCGGTATATAAGGGGTCGAGGAGCTGGACGCATCGCAACGAAGGCATGGAGAGTGGCAGAAAGCACGCTCGAGTGCCATGAGGTTCGAGACAACCGCTCGCTCTGTGCGGAGCTGTTGAGGCCCGGCGTAGTAGGGCGATGTGGCTGGATGCGTCCTGCACCCACCGTTACACCCTGCAAGCTGCCACCAGACCCTGCCACAGGATTTTCCGGATTTATTTCGAAGTGGCAGACGGGCCCGGCGCCTAGGTTCTGCTAATGACCCGAGCAACCGATGGCTTACTAGATCCAGCACCCGGTGCTTCGAGGCATCGCAGCAGCTTCTTGCATTCGGATCCCAGCGAAGGTCGACCCGCGTGACACGGCAGAAGTTCTTCAGCGCCCTGCGGGATGTGCAGAGCCCAGCGGGAGTTGGGACTGTCGTGCTGTGGGACTTGCCACCGTGTGCGATAGGATAGCGATACATGCCTTTACCCGGAGTGCTCAAATTAATGAAGAGACCTAATAGTGGCCCCTCTTGCAGCGTTCGAAGTTAAGAAGTTTCAGGCACTTGTTTTGCGAGATTCGGCGTGGTGCTCCCAGAATTGGTGCAAGATGGTGCCCGCAAGATCCCTGTAATTAAAGGGAGTCCGGGCCCTCTTCCACCAGAGCCTTGAGTCGAGAGCAGTCCTTTTGTGAGCCTGGTATTAGCCGAGGCCTTGCCTCAAAAGGAGAAGGACCAGTGCCAGGACAGATTTTTTTGAACTGGCCGAAGCATGCAGGTGATTCCCCTGGAAGCCCAGACTTCAAGGGATGCTTTGTAGCTGGAGAAATGGGGGGCGAAGATCTTCGAAATTGAGGAGCTAGCGGCTTACTTCCCTGCGAGCGGTCCGCCTCCCAGATGGAGGAGGTGTTTTTGCGTTCCACGGCCCGCCTGAGCCAAGGCCCGATGACGCCCGTGAACTACGAGTGGTCGGGTGCCTTTACAGACAGCATCCATTCTGGGTCCCCAAATCAGAGAGCAGACTCGCAAGACGTGCAGGAAGGGCAATCTTCGGCGCTTTTTCTGCATAGTCTGCGCCCGGCCTCAGTGCCAAGGCTTCTCGTCGACGACCCGTACGTCCGGCCCTGAAAAGAACGGTCTCTGCTTTCCTCATGTTTCTTCATTCAGGTTTAAGCGCCCTAAACACCCCTGTAGACGTGAAACCTTCTGGTGGGGAGTCCGAGTTGCGTCCGAGCATAAAATGGCATAAAACCAAGCAGAGCCAATCCTGGAACTCGCGGAGGTTCTTTCTCCAATCGTGTATGCTCTGCGACTGCAGCACTTGGAGGATGACCGGAGCGGTAAGCTGTGGCCAGGGTTTTGGGCCTGGCTTGTTTAAAACTTCAGGCTGCTTCCGGAATTTGTTGGCATGCAAGAGTTTGGATCGTTTGACTTGATTCTGGTGCACATTTGCCACCTTGGGTCACTATGGCCTGAGCCTGGTCCACCCGACACCCTACAAGTGCCACCCACCACCGTACACAAAACCCCAAAATTATGGGGCCCCTCGCCGGAAAGGAGGGCTTAGGGCTCAGCGACCGCATGGAGCGGCAGTGCCGATCCCAGCAACATGCGTCAGGGCGAGCGAATCGCCACGTAGAGAAGGTGCGAGACGAAGAAAAGCGACAGAGTCGATAGAGAAAGGGAGTGAGTGAACTAATTGCTCCGTGTACTTCTCGTCTGTTATTTGTACTGACGAAGATAAAGGCAAGTTGGATCGTTCAAAAGGAAAGACTAGGGCACCGGCAGTGAGCAGTGAATGTCACATGTGGGGGATGTGACACTCCCAGGGAACTGCAGTAACAGAAAGAGCGTCCAGTGGCCACGTCTCTCAGGGTGAAGTCCTGTGCGAGAGATGGGCCCGTGCGCGGCCCAGAGCTGGTCAATTTTGGACTTGGGCGTCAGTCGTTGCGTTGCAGCTGCTGGTCCAGCAGTCTGCACGACAGCGGTGATCAGCCAGATTGGGAGCCTCACTGATCCAGGTCACATACGAAAAGATCGAGGCACCGTCTGCGATAGATGCTTATTCCACGCCAATGTTGGAAGCAGTTTGCATCGCAACTTTCGGGGTATCGCAGACCAAAGCTCCTGGAATATGTCAGGCAGTCTGCAAAGACGATCCCCAGCTGTCGATTCTACAGCCAGAGGAGACTGTCTACCCATTCGCAAAGCGGCACCGAAGATTTCGAGCTTTGGAGCTCGTTGGTCGCCGGATCTCTGGCTCAGGGCTTTTCCAGGGTCCAGAGTTGTGGCTCAGTCGAAACCGGGCCGCGTGGTGATGCGGCCGTTTCAGAAAAGGCAAGAAGCCCCTGAACCCAACCAGCCAGAAAGGCCCCTAAGGCCAGTAGGAGCCCTGGCTGAAAGCAGCATGCACAGCTCTGACCATGGCAGAGAGTCTTCGGACTCGGAGCGCTGCGGCTCCGGTCCGATCCAACTGGCGGAGGGCCTTGGCGAACTTGGTGGTGGCCGAGGCGGCGGTCCTGCACCTGGACCTTTCGACGTGGAATTCGGCGCTCGGATGATGTTAAGGTTTAATCGTTGAGGGTTTGGTTCCTGGCCCGTTTGGCGTGTCTGCTTCCTGCCATGGTTTGCTGCGCCTCGTGCTTCCCCCAACGAGCCCAGATTTCGGGACAGCAGTCTCGATTCGAGCTCCCTTGTCGAAAACTATCACCATCTGTTCTAAACCCGAAATCCCCCAAAGCCTTGACCTCAACCCCAAAACTTACAATCTTACACCCAAAGCCTTTGAGTGCTAGTTTGCTTGAATTGCATCGAAATCGTCAGAGTGAGTCCCGAAAAAAGCCTCAAGCCCCGAACCCCAAACCCGCAGCCTTGCCTGCCTTGCGCGAGTGCGTGAGTCGAAACCGGAGCTGTTTCGGGTTTCGGTCCTGGGCCTTCGCACCGGAACAAGCCTCGCCTGCATTGCACGAGTCGCGAGAGTTCAAGCCCTAACCCCCAAGCTTCAAGCTAACCATCTGTCAGAGTGTCATGCTGACCTGCGACCATGGAACCTCGCCGCCTGGCTTGTCCGATTTCTGGGAGCGTAAACTCTGAAGCTTCGGACATCCTCGGGTCCCAGGTGCTCGTCGCCTGTGCGAGGGAGGGCCAATGGCAGGCGGCACTGGCGCTGCTCCAAAGACTCCGAGCAGAAACTGGAGGAACCTCAAGGTTTTGGGGTTTAAGATTTGGAGGTTTGGGTGCTCTTCCACCACTGCCGTCATTCCATGGTATCCTGTGCCGAAGCGCTGACGGTTCTATGCCTTGGTTGCCATGCTGTCACAGCTACCTGTTTGTGTTTTCAGAGGTAGCAAACCCAAATATTTCGTGTTCGGCGTATCAGTCAGAAAGGTGACTGTTCGTATACTGTTTCCAGATATGGGTTGCGCATTGCGTCGTGCAGGAGGCACATGCTTCCACAAGTAGGGCCCCAGTTTCTGATTGCCCCAGCCCAATTCCGAGAAGGATGCAATGGCCACTCGCAGAGTGCCGTGCTCAGTGCATGCGGCAGGGGTGGCCGCTGGGAGGTGGGGAGTGCTCCAAAGCTGTCAGAAACCGACAAAGACAACTTTTGGGACGAAGCTCCCCCCAAAATGCTAGGATCCATTCTCAAACTCCCAAGAAGAACCAGGAGCTTCATAAGAATCAGGTCAATCGGTCAGGAGTGTTGGGAGAATTTCTTGTGCAGGTGGCCCTTGATTTACTTTCGCAGTTCCAGGCCGAGCGCATGGAGGCCGGTCCAAACGCCAAAACACCGAGATCTTTCAGGCAAAAGGCACCGAAACACCAATAAAACCCGTACAGCTCGTAGCTCGGACATCACGCACCCTACGCCTTAAGTTGCAAAGGAAGCATCTTGCATTCGCTAGGTCGGCCTAGTCGTCTACAACGCGGCCATCGCCGCCTGCAAGCGTGCCGGGCAGTGGCAGCTGGCTCTCTCGGCTCCCTGGGCCTTTAGCTTCGTTTCTGCCGGTGGGCCCTGGCCCGGCAGTATGGTGCAGTATTTCCTCCCTTGTACAGGCACCGTCTTTAGCTTTGGAGCCTTTCGGGTTTGAGGATTTTGCTTTCCATCCACGTTCCACAGAGGTTTTAGGGGCTTTGAGGGTGTTTTGACACCCAGAGCCCCGCATAGTGGAGCTACGGCTATTCGTTGCTTCAGCAAGGGATTGCAGCCTGATTGCAGCAGCAGCAGCTGTCTGCCACGAGGCTTTGCGGACGATGCAATCTTTCAGCTTGATCCCGGATGTCGTCTCTCGGATATGTTTTGGCCGCACCTGTGATCCCCTGCAGATCAAGTTAGTTAATTGGGCCGTCCCCATGCAGCGGACGCGACCAGCACCGCACTGCCGCAGTTTTAGTGGAAGCAACAACCCCACTGTTCGGGGAAGATCGTCGAAAATACTGCAAACGGCTCCGAGGTCACTTGGTCTTCTATTATCGGCGCCTGTGAGAAAGGTGGACATTGGGGCTGGTCCCTCTTTCTCTTCGATGCGATGATGCACCAGGAGTTGCGGGAGAGGGCTCTGAGTCTCTGAGCGTGTTTCGGCACAACTGAAGAGAACTTACTCAATCCTCGGCTCAGCATGGGTTCAAGATAAAGGTGCCCAGCAAGGTGGCCCCGCCTCTGCTTGAGCAGCGCTGGAGGAGCTGGAACCCAACACCATCACCAAAACCTCCACCATCAGCGCCTGTGCCCTGGGAATTCAGTGGGCCAGGGCGCTGGAGCTCATCGCAGCTTGGATTCAGCTGGGTGCCACCCGAAAGCTCCCGAATCCTTCAGTCCCAGGAGCGTCTCACAGTAGACTCAGTAAACCGCAAGCGTCTCCTTTTTTGAAGTGTTTCGAAAAGTCGCAGCGCGAAGCCGAGGAGAGCAATCTCATCTCCTGCAATGCCGCAGCTGGGGCGTGCGGCAAGGCCTCCCGGTGGCGAAGCGCACTTGGTGTATTTCGCTGCCAGGAGCTCCCTCGCAAGGAAGACAGACCTTGTCCGTGCCATTAGCCAGATCTCACTTTCATAGTTTTATAGTCTTCAGGAGCGCAGCTTTGAGCGTGATGCGGCCAGCTACAGCATTGCCTGCGGTGCTCTGGGCGAGGCCTCGCAGTGGCCCCAGGCTCCGCAGTGAATTGACAGCTTATGGGTGGAGTGATGTTATTTTCGAAAAAAAGCAGTGCCACCACGACCACAACGACGACGACTACTACTACTGCTGCTACTACTACTACTACTACTACTACTCCTGCTGCTGCTGCTGCTGCTGCTGCTGCTGCTGCTGCTGCTACCACCCGGCATGTTTTGAAACTTCCGCCAAGTGTTGCTTCGGGTGCTGGCATGTGCTGGCCTTGTTTTGGCGCAACCCTTCAACAGCCAAAATGCTCTTCCAAACACCGGGGCTGCGAGGTTCGAGTGTTTTGGAAGGCTTAGGTCAGATACCTCGGCTTCACGCTGACTTATCCGAGTTCGGGGTAAAGCGGATACAGCTCCACGCTTCTTGGGGATCTTGTGTGTTGTCCTCGCCAACTCCGATAAGTTGTGCGAGTCTCAAGCCTAATTGCGGCTCAAGCATGTCATCACCCAAGCTCTCGTGCTTTCACATGACATGACATGGACTTTTTGTGATAGTCTTGAGGCAAGTTTGGTCTTCATGCCAGCCGCTTTGGAAGCACTGAGGTATCTCACGTTCACGCAGCACTCAGATGTTGCTAGCGCCATGAGACTGAACGCTCTCCTGGGCCTCGGGGGCCTCTCTGGGTGGAAGAGCGAGAAGTCGGAAGCAAAGCGTCCCAAGCGCCTTGACGTGCTGGAATCTCTGGGCATCAATCAGAACGCAGGTGGGCAGCCAGCAACCTCGAGTTCATCCTCAAAGAAGGCTGTCCAGTCTTTGAGCGGTTCAAGCTCCGATAAGGAAGAGCTGAGGAAATGGCTCGCAGGTGGGGATGTTGGTACTAGTGCAGACCCCGATGCAGCTGCACCTTTGCCAGCAACAGCAGCAGAAACTGCGGCAGATGAAGCTGAAGCAGGTGCCGCAGTCGAGTCAGCAACTCCATCTGCGGCGGCCGAGCCCGTGAACTCACCAAGACCGGTCATCAACTGGAGGGAGGCCTTTTCTAAGGCACAAGATCGGTGGGACGTCGTGGAGGGCGGGGCGCGCTGTTACTACCACCACTCGGACATGGGCCTCTTCTTCGAGTGGGACCAGCAGACAGGAGTCTTGTTCCAGTATTTCTTCGGCACTGGCGAGGCCAGGAGTGTACCTGTCGGTGACGACGATCTGCCGGAGCGCGGTCCGATCTGGTCCAGCGAGTGTCCAGACACGCACGCAGAGGTCTGGGAGGTCTTGCCCCTGCCGCCTACAGATCCACGCGCCAAGGCAGATCTCGACATCATGCCTTCGACGGAAGCTGGTGAGGCTTCGGAAAGTGCCGAGATGCCGCCGCCTCCGCCGCCGAAGAAGCGAAAGAAGACTTTGCCCCCGGTTCCTGTCATGTCTGCATCCCCGGCCGGCCCGGCGGATGACGAGGACGACGATCCTCGATTGCCAGAAGAAGCAGAGCAAAGCGTGCCTATTTTGGGCTGCGAAGGGCCTCCTCCGGCTCCGGCTCCAACTTCTTCGATCGCCGAGCCCGAAGAGGACGAGGAGGGTCAGGTCGGGTCCTTTGTGCTCGATGAGGATGAAGAGGCTGCAGACCTAGCTTCGGAAGATTGCGCCTTGCCCGCCGCGCCGGCGGACAGAGCAGAACCGTCAGCGGCGGATCTGGACCTCGACATGTTCGCCGGCATGTGAGGTATGCTGCAAGTGGTTCACAGCCATACCGGTAGCCGACAGCAGGGTGTCTCGCTGCTGTTCTGGTGCCTGACCTGTACAGAAGCTGTGAGGTTAGGCTGAAAGATATTAGGAGTGGACGTATCGCCCTCCACGATCTTCTGCTTGAAATCCCATGTCGCGAACCGGGGGATCGTGCCATCTTAGTCTCAGTTAGCTGCTGGGAGAAGACCTAGCTCGACATGACATGCCTCTGGTGGAGTTTCCTGAGCCTGAGCTGTTTGTTTTGGAAGGCTCTTTGATGGGACGCCTATGTGGGCATGTTGTGACAGCCACCCTCGCCTGCATTGTCCGAGTTGCGAGAGTAAAATTGTCGCCAACAAGGTCAAACCCCAAACCCTACTCACCGGAGTAGCGCGGAAGCCTTTCAGCTTTCATGGTCCTTTCTGCTGGTTCTCATCCTGTTTGTTGGTTGGATCGTAGGTCGTAGGTGGTTGCGGAGTCGTGTCTGTTCACGGTGGAGCGAGTGCAAGCAGTGCAACCTGACCTAGTGTACAAACTGTGAATTGACTGCAATAGTCGGGGCACATCTGGTTATGTGGGCCTGACTCTTCGGGCAAATTGCGTGCCCCAACTGCAGTTGTTCTCTAGATCGCGAGCCCAGCGCACTTTGTTCCTCTTTCTCTTTCCTGTCGCTGTGCTTTCAAACAGGGAGGCGTACAAGTAGTGCTTGCCCCTATGTTTTTTCAGTTTGAAGTGCTGTTTTGTGCGCCTTTGCCAGCTGTGCGGGTGGGATAACAATTGAGCATCGGTGTATTGAGAGGCCGCAGAGGCATTCCGGGAGCTGGGCGTCATGCGCATTTCCTGTGACGCCGTCGCCGCGACGGCAGCCCTGGGTTCTTTGGTGCCACTTGGACTGCAGAACAGACCTGGCTCTTCCGAAGGAGGGGAGAACATGGGCATTGGTGTTTCGTGCTCTGGAGCGGTGTGTGTCTGTGTATGTGTGTGTCTGTTTGATCTTTTGTACTTTGTTGCCCGACGTGGAAGGCCCCCAGTGGCATTTCCGCTTCTTGTGCTATTCTGCTTGTCTCTTGTCCATGGCATGTAGTCTCTGCTACCAGGCATCGCCGGGAGCCCTCCAAAAGTCGCATAAACGTAAGGGCCAGAAGGGCCGCGTGTTTGGGACAGAAGGGCCAGGGGAGATCATCATGTCGTCGAAATATCATCCTCATGAAAGTGGCCCCCCGTAACCTGAAGGACGTGCCCCTACAAAGGAAGTCGTGGCTCTGGAGACGCAGCCTTTGCCTACTTTGTGAGCTTCAGCGGACTGGGGTGCAGCGGAACACGAGCCTCACTGCACAGAGTTTCTCAAAGCTAGACGGGTGCAGTCGCTTGGTAGTTAGGGGCCCCTATGGAAAGGGTGCGACACTTTAGGGTATGTGCGCATAGCCCCTGAATTTCTTGACAGCACCCAGCACAAAGTACATGAACAGCGAATGCTGAAGCCGTGATTGTCGCACCTTTTCGCCTCAACCACCGAAGCTAAAAAAAACAAAACACTCCTTCTGCAACTTTCTGTTGCGAGGCTTTGGCTTTCAGTCTCAAGGTCCGCTGTTCAGTTCGTGGTGTGTGGTGGGGGGCACCAGTTTTCCGCCAGAGGAGCCTGTGCTTGTTTTTCTTTTTAGCTGTCTCTCCCTAGACTCTCGTTCTCCCAGCAGATGCCAGCGCTCCTCAGGATGGCGGTGAATGCCGCCCTCAGCACAGCCGGCAAGGCAGCGAGCTGGCTCACAGCGGTGGGGCTGCACCTCGTCGTGCCGAGTACTTCTTGATGGGTAGGTTTCCGACAATTCCTGTACAGTACTGCGTATAGCAAGCCTCAATCAAATCAGCAGCCCCCATAGTATCCCTTCCATGAACCTTATAGTAACTATTATAGTAACTATTATAGTAACTATTATAGTTACTATTATAGTAACTATTATAGTATATAGTCGTCGCAGTTCTTATAGGGTTCCGACCGGTTCGGCTCAGTACTTGCACGGCAAGGCAGCTACGCCGTGTTGCGGTTTGTCTTCTTGACCTGAGACGTTATTTGTGGCCTACCGGGCCTACCTGATGAGTCTACTTCTACCCCGAATATCAGTCACCCCCCACTACAGGTTCCCATGTTATTATCGGGGGGTTGTGGTACTAGGTTAAAAATACCAGATTCCCGCAAGCATAGGCTTCTCCAAATGGAATCCGAGCTCCTGCAGAAGTCTTCAATCACAGACGGCGCCGCTGCTCTTCCGCAAGCCTCCCTGAAAAGAGGGACCTGGCGATGAGAGTTTAGTGTTTCAGGACTTGGGGGTGCAGGGGTTCGGGGAGGGTGGTGAACAGTGCAGAAAGTGTGCTGTGCGGTGTAGGGAGGCCTCTGAGCCCCCGCTTCAAAGTTCAGGCATTTGTTAAGAAGGCTGTTTTCTGCCTGCAGCAATTGCTCCGCTCCAACCGACCTGACAACTTACCCGGCTCGCTTTTGCGGGGGCGTGTCGAAGGCTTTGTCCGCCTTCGTCTTTGCTCGAAGTTGGCGCCGGGCCTTGTGCCAGATGGAGGCACGCGCGGGTCTTTGGAGTGGTTCTGCGATCCTGGCGAGTCAAGGCTTGAGAACGGTTCAGCCCTCAAGAGGTGATTTCGGCTTCAAGCATTGAAGTTGGGAGGAGGTGTTGCGATGACAGCCGGCGCGAAGTTGAGGCAGAACCAGCGTGACAGATCCCAAGCCTGAAGAACACCACTTTTTTCTTTGGGATCCCTGCGTGGCACTTCCCTGTTGCAGGACCTAAGGCAGCCCAGTGCTGCCTGGCATGAATTGGATCTGCTTATCGTAACGATCCCGGCGCAACCGCCTGTCTTCGCGGCTCGGGGCAGAGTGACTCCCTCCCGCTGCAGGCTCCTTCTATCGACACAGGTCCCTCAGCGATCCGGAACGGAAGCCAAAGAGGGCCACGGGTCTCCTGTGAACTTCTGTGCCTCAACTCGGCTCCCACGTTCAGTCGCCCAGGGCTCGCTTCAAAGCCTCGGCCTCGCAGCGTTGGCCGCCGGCGGGCGCTGGGCGCAGGCGCTGGCAATGCTGGTGGAGGCATCTCCGTAGCCAGAGAGCCAAAGACCACTTCATTGAATATGCCTGATATTCCGTAGCTCAGAATCAGGGGCTTTGTATGCTAAAGGCTTTACAATTTTGGACCGAACATACTTGAGGCACAAATCAGGATCAGGGCATTCTGCGGTATCCTTCGAGGGAGGGCCTTAGCAATCAGAAGCCCTGCGCAATCCAATGTAGCGTCTGAGCATGTGATATCACCCTCCCAAAACAGAGAGTTTGTGCATTTTTCTGTCTGCATTTCGGCCTCTTGAGTTACAAGCTGAGTAAGCTAAGTTCTGAATTCTTACAGAAACCTGAGATTTGCCCAGCCACAACACGCCGAGCAAGCTGGGACCTGCTCACTGAGCAGCAAGCTGAGCAAGCTGAGGTCTGTCTACCAACAAACTCAGTTCGCCTACAACGAGCTGAGAGTGCTAAGCTTTGTTGACCTGATTTGACCTGCAAGAAGCTGAGCCCACCAACAACAAGCTGGTAAGCTGAGGTTTATCTACCCACAACAAGCTGAGCACAACAGGCTGAGTAAACGGAACGTACCCAAGAATTGCGGCTAGAGCTCTTATGTTGTATGGTGGTTCCACTAAGGGGGCCGTAGGGTACAGGTCAGGCCTTGGGGGGTTAATTTCTCATGCCTCGGGGTGGGAAGCTAGAGCGAATGGAAGGTTTACGGTTTTAGTGCTCTCGCAGGTTCTTGCGCTTCGCCTGGAGGTGGATGTTCGCGGCTCGGCGTCAAGTCTGAAGATACGATGCCGCCGGACCAAGCCTCAAGCCAAGGAGCATCTAGTGGAAATAGATTCGGAGGGGCGTTTCAAAGAAGGAGCCCTCTGATCTGGGACGGCTTTCTTGATAGGGTTACTGCATGTAATATCACCTTTCACCAAGATCGGTGACAGGCCTCTTCAACGAAGTCATTGGCGCCTGCGGCCGCCATGGCCACTGGGAGGTGCCGTGCTGCTGGGTGCTCAAATCGAATCTGCAGATTCGGAGAGAAATGCCTTCCAACGGGGTGGAAGTCGCACGAACTTGAACTGCTCCACATCTCCATGCGAATCTCTCGTGCATAGTGGAATCCATGTATGTGGCATTGTGTTAGTGACACCGGAGGAGCTGCGTAGCTCATGCGCTGTGCTACTATCCAAACTTCCACCTATCCCAAAGCAACCTCGCTTGTGGGCATCGATCCTAGCCATGCGACATGGTAAACAGGGGTCGTTCTATGCTGCCCATTTCTTGTTGTACAGTGTTTGTTTTGAGGTCGTTGTCGCCATTTCCGCGTGCATGCATATGTTTATGTTCGCCCTTCGCTTTGTGGCACATAATTGTCGCAGCTGCGAAGGCTTCTGCGAGCTGCAAGGGTATGCAACGTGGGGCTATCTATCTGCTCGACTATATGTTGCATGTTGCTCCGTAGGTGTTTGTTACCGTTGCATCTGCAGATTGTCAAGCGCATGTTCCTTGCCAGTCTTGCATTCACCTCCTCTCCTTGCGCCTGTCGTACCATGTCGTCTGCCGTCCTAAACGCATTTGTTTGTTGGCGGCGTGGCATTTCCGCAAACGATTGCAAGCTGCCAAATGCCATTGGCCATATCGTACTTATGTACTTAAGGATCAGTGGTAAGCAGGTTGTTGTATGTCAAGGATGGGCTGAACGATGTCACGTAAAACTTATATGATCACCTCCTTACTAGGTCCCCTCATCCTCTATAGGTTCATGGTTCTTTTTGCACCCGTCCTTCTTACAGTCTTCAGGGTTGCTTTCCCGCTGCTTTGATTTACAACAAACCGCACAAGTCCACACCACCATGGACCAAGCCTGCTAAGAGTGTGTTTTGACGGTCGGTACGTTGGCTGCATCATGTGCAATGGGTGCATTGGATGCACAAGAGGGTCAAGGCAACGGCCGGCTTCAGATATAACATCGGAAGTCACATCCTAGCATCACTGCACTTGGATGGCTTTGTTTTGCCTGCGGGAAGCAGTCGAGCTTGTCAGGCTGCGCTTGCGGTGCTAGCGATGTTGCCTACACGGAGCTTGGCAGGCTGAGAGCAGAGTCTGAAACCAGAACAAAGACCAAGAGCGGATCTCGACGTGCTTGCAGGGACCGTGGTCTCTTTCACCGCAGCAATCGACGCTTGTGCCCTGGCAGGCCAGTGGCAGCAGGTGCGCGATGTTTGAGTGCAATACATTTGATGGAAGAATAAACGTCACAGGCTTTGGCAGATCTGTTCATTAGCAGGAGGTTTGCCCGGTGCTTTGCCGAGCGACTACGAGGCAATGAAGACAGGAAGAGAGGTAGTTAGGAAGATAAGTTTTGAAGAGATACGGAGGGTTCAGGCCAGACAGCGTGTCTGTAGGGCCTCGGGCCTTAGACCCCTTGGACGGAGGCTGCGGCGCTCCTGGAGTCCATGGCGAAGTCTGCGGCAGAGGCACCGGCTCTTCCGAAATTCCAGATTCTGCTTTGTAGGGTAGTGTGCAGGTAGTGTAGGGTAGTATGTGGCGAGTGTAGGATTCTGGGGCCTGTTCGGGGTTTCAGGGGTTTCGGGAGCTTCAGTGAGAGGTGTCCAAGCTTCGTGGGCGAAGACCCCGAAGCCTCAGAAGCAACGCAGCACGAAAGGGGTCAACAACCTTCGTGTTGCCCGACAACACCCAACAAGCCAAGCAGCAACGCAGCGCGAGGAGAGTCGAACCTCCAATGGTGAAGTCTTAAATCCAAAGCCCCTGAGCTCTGGAGCACATGGCCCTATCGGCTTGTTTGGAAAAGTCCTGGAGCTTCAGTGGGTCTTTAGTAGAAGATGCCGTGGTTCAGGGTTACCGGCTTATAGGCGTTTAGGTTTAAGGTTTGAGTTGAGGGGCTAATAAGGTTTACGGTTGCGGTTCGGCCGCGAATCAGGCGAACGTCATCACTTTCAATGCTCTCATTGGAGTCTGTGGCGCCTCGGTGTGCAGGATTGAGAACCGCATGTCGAGGAGAGGCATCCTGCATGGTACAGTAATTCTCATCCAGCTCCTTGTTTGGGAGATCGTCTGTAACAGGGCCGACAGGAGTTGTTGCGCATTCATCGGTGCATGCAGTAGTCGCTCCGCCAATGGGACCAACCTCAATACACAGACAAGACAATAATATATAATAGATTACAGTTTATACTCTAATATAATATAGTATAATACAGTATAATATAGTATAATATAATATAATATAATATAATATAATATTATATAAGAAAAGAAATACAACACAATCTGAATCTCTCCTGAAGCCAAGAAGGGTGCCGTGGGAAGGCCAAGGCGGCGCATGGAGCCGAGCGCTCGATCTCCTCAACGAAATGCAGGCTTGGGGGCGCCGTATTAGAAAAGAGATACCTATCTACCTTCAAACTACAGACGAGCTCCGTTAACAAAATACTGTGCTTGACCCCACCTATCCGCAACTCATGGTGGTTGTAGGCCTTCTCGACGCACATCGCATGCAGTTTTGATTGCAAGGAGGGTGTTCAAGACATCACCGGGACCAACTTAATCATCACACAGCTTCATTTGGAGAAAGTTTTTGCAGCGCTGAGGCGTTCATCACTTTATCGGTGTCTTCATAGACTGCTACAAAAACCCAAGGTTCGACGTAGAAGACGAGCATGGCACATCCAAAACTGCAGTTGAGAGTTCAGGCATTAGACAGTGCTGCCTCCGCCGTATGTGTTTATTTTGCGCTTGGGCGTTATTGATCATGTTATTGATCATGGCATTACTCGGAATATCACGGCTAGAATGCCAACTGCACGGTTGGAAGGACTTAACTTTGACAGAGTGCAATCTGCTCACGTTTGGGCCGACAAACGAATAGTCGCAACATGCACGCAAGCATGCAATCACTTGTTGCATGAAAAAGAGAAGGTGTCAGCTCAGTTTGCGCTCGGGTTGAAAAGAGACAAATGCTCCTATATTGCAATGAACGGTAAGAACACCAACAAATTCGCAGATGGCACGCGATTGACAAGGGTAAATGAGGCAACTCGTTGTCGGACATCAAATCAAACAGGCTATCGACATCAGGCATGGATTCAACCCTAAAATGCCTCAAGCTCTCAAGCTATGGCTCAAGCTGAATGCGTTCTGGAAATCCTCACCTGCGCTAACGTGCATGATATTATCATCACGAACAAGCTGCTGTATGGGTTTATCTGACCCAGGCATTGCAGAAAAAAGTTGAGGCTTCTCAGCTGCCAGGCTTGCGGACGATTTTAGGAATGGATGCCACTTAATTACGTGAACGGAGGCAAGAGTCATTGAGCAAGGTACTGCAGAAATTAGGTGGACAAAACACAGCAACACTCTTGTCAGAACTTTTGGATGGAAAACACCCGAAGCTTGGCTGTACACATTGCGTAAGTTACCAGATGTTCCACAAGGGCAGCAGGAGAGTAGGGGACCTATGGAAAGATGGGTTTTCTACACGAACCAGTTAGTTCGGGAAACATACACGGCACGTCCCTTTGCTCCCTATGCCAACAAAAACAGGCAAAACCAGTACATATAGAAGCATGCAGTCAACCGTAATTTTTGACACTGCCCCACGTGCCGGAGGCCGCAACATCATGTCAAGAGAGGCAGGAGTCCATGGCAATCAACAAATTGAACACGAAACGCAGCAGACGCATAACGTACCCAAGACAGACCAGTACACAAAGAGCACACCAGAAGGCAAGAACTCATAAGAACGTGCACGAATCGCGAAAACAGGCAAGAAGGCATATAAACACAAGAACAGTGCTGCAGCTTCACAGGTTACAAGATGTGATTACCAACACTATTCAATTTCGTCAGTCTGAAGTGCAATTCCACCATGTAGTTCTAACCTCTAAATCTCATCCGGACAAGCCTCGCCTGCATTGTTCGAGTCGCGAGAGTCCAAATCTCAATAAAACATTCGAGCTCCCCAAGGCAGGCTCTGTGCCCAAATCTGGGAACCCACACAGGTGGTGGCGGTGCGGCAAGATCACATCAGCACCGGGGCCTGTGTGGCTTGGCCTGGAGAGTTCCGGGCTTCAGACAAGAACTTCACTAGCCTCGACCACCTCCCCCGCTGTCCTCCCATTCCCATCTAGAAGAAAAGAACACAGGAATCACAAGCAAGAAGAATGTCACGAAGAGGAGATCACGAAACAAGAACATTATGGCCCCCCCTCCCCCCCCTCTCACCTCCGCCCCGTGTCCCCTGGGGTCTGGGCGCCTGCCCTCTGCGGGGCGTAACAATGTAACAATTGGACTAGGTTTTGCGGGATACACTGCTGAAAGATTCACTAAGGGGCCCTATAAGGAACCATGCATTGTCCTATGCATGGACGAGCTATAACTTTTCACTGTTCAGAACGATGAAACTATCTCGCAAGTTCCTTTTGGATGAGTAAGCGGGGTTGTCGAGGCTCCATGAGGGTTGGAACCCCCCTTTCGTGTGACAGGCGTGGTACTTTCGGTACGTTCGCCAGTGCTACTTTTAATCTACTACTTCCCGCGTAACAAGCAGCTTAAGTTTAGACTCCACAGCACCGAAACAAGGAGCGCAGAAACCCTGCGTTTCCCAACAATTAAACAAATGACCATTTTCCTGATCTCGGAAACTGAGGCATTGATGCACACGAAGCCTTGGCACACGCAGTGCAAGCCGAACTGTCCTCAAAATTTCTGGGCTCACTAACCTGTGCGGGTTGCTTCAAAATGGCGCCAGCACCTCCCAACAACGACATTACCCCAATCCTGGCTGACAGGTTTGGTTGCTTCCAAATGGCGCCAGCACCTCCCAGCAACGACTTTACCCCAATCCTGGCTGACAGGTTTTGGTTGCTTCGAAATGGCGCCAGCGCCTCCAACAACGACTTTACCCCAATCCTGGCTGACAGGTTTGGTTGCTTCCAAATGGCGCCAGCACCTCCCAACAACGACTGTACCCCAATCTTGGCTGACAGGTTTTGGTTGCTTCCAAATGGTGCCAGCACCTCCCAACAACGACTTTACCTCAATCCTGGCTGACAGTTTTGGTTGCTTCCAAATGGCGCCAGCACCTCCCAACAACGACTGTACCCCAATCCTGGTTGACAGGTTTGTGATGGTTGGTGCTTCAAAGTGGCACCAGCACCTCTCAACAACGATTTATCCCAATCTTGGCTGAAAGGTTTGGTGGCTGCAAAACGGTGGTGGCGCCTCCCAACAGCGACCTTACCCCATTCCTGAGATGCGGGCGAGTCATGAGGCCTTGCACTGCCAGCCAAGGTGAATGCAGCAGCGCGTGCTTGGATGTGGGGAGAGGCACTGAACCCAATGCCATGAAGTCGGCGTTTGGTTGGGCCGTGTTTTCGGCGTTTCCGGCATGTGCCTCGATCTGTTACTCAGGGCATGGGGCTTGACAACATCCGGCCCAAACCTACGATCCAACATCATGCTGACGTACATTGCCCTCTATGCACGAAGCTGCCCTTTTCATGGAAGTCACTTCATTTCTCCCGGATGTGGTGTGAAACTACGCCTGCCGTGCTGCTAGACATGGAAGGCGACGGAGCTTATTGCGTCGCTCCCCTCGCAGCAGCTGCGCAGCGATGTTTCGGGGCTAGCAATATGAAGCCGGATGTGGGACGGACAGGGCACACACAGGCACACAATCTGGATCCTGACGCAAGCCTTGAGCTCCGCAGTATCCTGTAGTCCCAAGTCACCAAGTGAGGTCGTCATCCACAGTGCTGCCGTTTGCGCCTGTGGCGAGGCCGAGCGATGGCGACAGGCCTTGCAGCGACGTAGTTTTCATGGCCACAATCCGAATTCAACCGAGATCGGAACAATCCCCAATGTCTTGACAACCCAGGAGTCGCAGGAGTCAAGGAACTAATTATGAGTCAAGGGCATGGCTGGCTTGGAAGATCGACTCTCAGGAATTGGAATGTGGGAGGCTAAAGGCAGAGCGCTGCACACTCCGCAGGCTCGCAAAGCGAGAGGTACAGTACCCGTCAGACCAAAGTCACAAGTCCGAAATGCAATGATGTATTAAATGCGAATCCTAGCGGAGCCCCCAAAGCCCGAACCTTTGCTGGCCTGCGCGAGAATAAGCCCTATAGACCAACAGGCCATGGAACTTTTCGGCACCTTGAGGCCATCTGCCCTTCGAGTGGCAGGGGCCCTGGACATCCTCAGCTGCTTTTGACTTCGGGGTTTCGAGGGTTGAGGCAGAGGCACGAACAGTAAGGAGCTTGGAGCTTCTTGAGATTTCTTCTTCGAAGTTCCTCTGAGCTGAATCGATCGATCAACCGTATGCTTGGAGTGCAAGCTCCACTGATCAGTGGCCTGGCAGCCCTTGAGCAGTCGTGCCTATAGCCCCTTCTTCCAACGCGGCTGGCGAGCCATGCGCGAATTCTTGAACGTGTCCACGGCTCTGACGGTGGCGGCACCTTGTGCTGAAAGAGGGGCATGCCAGGAAGCTGTTGCAGAAGTGATATATCATGATGGCGCTCGTGCGTGGTCTTGCCTCCACTGTATATATATATATATATATATATATATGTTTGTTTTTTGATGACTGTTTCTGGCAATACCGAGGTTGGAGAGCCTGTTATCACAGTCTTTCCCTTCTAAAAGCCGCCAGCGCAAGCGACTCGCCGCAGCCGCGTCGAGGTGCTCTGCGCCGCCACCCTGCTGCTGTCGGAGGCTCCGGCCTTCACCGCAGGAGTGAGTGGCCACGGCGTGCCTTGGCTCTCCTGCGGAATCCAAAACTGCGGGAGTCGGTCCTCGGATCGCCTGAGGCACCGCAGCACGGCCCCGGCCGCGTCTCCTCTGCAAAGGCCACCTTTGCCTCCGCTCACGAGGCCTTGCCTTCGCTGGAAGTCTTCGACAAGTTTAGAGCGCTGCCATGCGGTCAGGGCCGCAGCTGTCAGGCTCTGGGCACCCATGGCGTTCTCTGCTTCGGCATGGGCTTCGGTGCGCTGGTACTTGGCACGCAAGACTCCCTCCAAGCACCGGTATCAGAATAGCGAGGAGCCCAAGCCAAAGCAACCCTGTTAACATGTACTGATGCCGTCGAGGTCGCTGTGGGGCGGGGCCTTGCCGCACGTCGCGCGCAGGGCTCTGACATCGCGGTCCCTTGATGCTCGAACCGTTGATCAGACAATGCGCAAACTTTCGGTTCGGGACGCGAGCTTCAGCTGTTAGGTCACAGGGGCAGGTTGCTGTTTCGGCAGGTAGGTCTGTGTCCATTCGCACACGGATTCTTCCCTGATGCAGAAACTGGATGAAGCTCTCAAATCTAGAAGAGCACCAGGACCAAGAAGTGATAGACGGAGGAGCTAGTGCACGAGGGCTGCGAGAGCTTCACTGAACACTTGGCCGAAGTTGAGGGCTACACGAGGCAGATCACGTTTTGTAAAACAACATGCAGCTCTGCCCGATAGAAATCGAAGAAGATGTTGAGGCGTACGGCGAAGGAGAGGGAGAGGGAGAGTTGTCAGAGACTTAGGAGAGCTTTTCTGTGTGCGTGCTTGAGCGTTGTTGGCACATTGACTTGTTGGTGGGATCCTTAGATCCTTATATTCCCGGCATCGATCGGTTGAGCCACAGCAGCACAGGTGAAGGAGGCCGCGGACATCTCCAAGATTGCGTATCTGCAGGACCCATCTTCCGGGGGCCGTGAAACTCCTACCTCCAACCCTGCAGCACAACACAAAACTTCACCAAGCTGTACCCTTATACGGCATAGCATACTTAGCATATCCCCCATAGAGTGTGTACCGTAGGAATCTAGAACCACCAACATGGTATATGATATGCCTGACTAATTATACCTCTATACACCCCTAGCCACTCTCTTCCAGGACATCCCTCGGACCATCGTGGAGAAGGATGCCTTGGAGCTTATCCTGAAGAACACACCTCGGGACCAGTGGGAGAACCCCCCTGAGGACTCCTACCTCTACACGGCCACTCCGCAATGGAAGGGGAGTTGTACAAGATGACGGAGTCCCTCAATTTTTACGCCTTGAATAAGCGTCGCATACCTATTCTAAATTTTAAGGACCTCCGAAACAGGACCCAGTAAATCCCCAGGCCCCAAGCCATCTTCAGGGCCTCCGGTTCGATCCAGGATTGACTCACTGGTGATAGCAGGTTCAGGCGTAAAAACTCAGGCGTTGGATCTGTGGGATGAGACGGAACTGACACAAAATTGGCGGATTGCCTAGGTGAAGGCCTTCGCGGAGATGTACGGCCCAGGAAAGGCCACCAAGATGGGCTGGTGGGAGTCTTGCTAGCAGAAGGCAGCCAGGGTTTTGAGCTGTTTGGGGCGGCTCCAGGAATGCAGCTGTGCTTTGAGGGTCGGGACGGTTCTCGACTGAACCCTTTCGACAACCGAGGACTACTACCGCCTGAAGATGGACATGCCGGACTGCTGCCTTTGATGGGATTTTCCTACGTACGTGGGGCCTCTCTTTTTGGTCGGATTCAAAGAACTAATATGCCGGAGAAGTTGTTCAAGTTCCGTTTATCTTCTTGGACCTTCAAGGAAGGTAGTGCCGTGACACAGCCCGTAAGGTCAAACCGCAAGCCGCAAGCACCGCTCCAGCATTGACGCCAGAGCCAGGACACCACCCGCCTGAACTCGGAGAAAGAGCTGCAGGACTTGGGTTTCCGCAGAGAAAGCTTGCCGGCTGTTGGCGCGTAGCCTTCTGGGCAGCATGTCAGCACCCCGATTTTCGAGGAGATTGAGGAGTACGAGAAGCTGATGATGTCAGGCCGGCTGGGCTGGGGACTTCACGTATGCCGCATTATGTGCTAGTAACCTGTGTCCATCGCGATCGTCCACTGCAGCGGAGCTTCACACTTGGAAAACCCACTGCATCGAACGCAACTGACTTTTTGCCAGACCGAGTGGAGCTGGATTCCAATCTGGCAGGCAAGGTTCCCTTCGCTGTGCCTGGCCCTTCCGGCTACTTCTTCACGGGCTTTGTCACGCAGTGGAAGGGCAAGGACGGGGTGGAGCGTGAGGGAGTCACGCTTGAAGAACCTGATTGGCGAAATCCATCTAGTGTCGGAGCACAGCAGGCTGTGTATTGCCAGTAAACTGTATCCGAGGGCCGCGTAAATGTACACGGCAGTATTCCTACGGAGCCCAAAAAATTTTTCATTCACGAAATACAATATTTCAAAAAGTTTGGTCGTGCTTGATTTTATTCTGCATTGTGGCCTTTTATCTTGCTCCGTCGTTCTGTCGGCAAGCACAAGCGATGTGAGCACAGTAGTGCTGTTTGCTCAGGCCCAGAATACATTTCTCTGCCCAAAAACCCCGGAAAAGCTCGAGAACCTGGATGGAGTTCTATCCTGCGAGGAGCCCTTTGCAGGCGACCAGGTCATCACCTTGACGGAGAACGGACTCTTTGCCAAGCAATTCCTCAGTGCCGCTCGGGCAACGGCTGTTCTTCTGGGCCTCAGGGCCTGAACCGGGTTTCAGAGGTCTCCTAGCGTTTCAAAACAGGGTGTGGAAAGGTTCCGGGTTTGTCTTCCAGGGGTTCAGGGTTTCGGCATTCAGGTCTGTGGATTTTCTTGGCCCTCAGTTCTCTTCAGGGTTGCTCGGCAGTCGGAACATTGAATAGGCCTGGATGCTGAAAGGTTTTTGGTGGGATTAGCCGGATTTACTGTAGTAGGGTTCGTGAGCAAAGAAGAAGGCAGATACAGTAGCACACCCTAGTCGGAAGTCATTCCCGAGCCTTTGGACAAGCATGGCAGGAGTGCAACTCCCGCCCAGCAGCCTGATCCTTTTCGAACCTTTCGGTCGATGGTCAGTACATTAAGGCCGCTAGAGTCCGTGGTTTCTTGGTTTGCATGCCGTGCTCAGACCCAACTTGCCGTCTTGTTTGCAGGAATCACTCTGGTCCACTTCGGCGCGCAAGGTGTAAGTTTACTGTAAGCATCAGTAAAAAATATGACGACTATGACTATGTCATGTCCAAAGAGTTATAAGCTTTGCAAAAAAATGCCTCTGCGAGAAGAGCCTTTCTTCGACCCCAACTGAGGCCCTGGCCTTCTATCGCGAGGGCTTGAAACCTTGGCAGCGAGGATTGGAGATCCTCGTCCAGAAAAGCGACCTGTTTTGCAGGCGGCCAGATATGTCTTTTGCAAACCAGGATGCAAAATCTGTGGCAGTTGAACCGTCTGTGGTTTTAGTCTTTCGCAATGCACATCGACCGGCATGTCGATTCCATGATCTTAGAGAGCAAGACGGCGGGTCAACTTCCGCCTAGTCTGGACACTCTGCCACTGAGGATTGGCATGGCCCACGGTGACCTGGCACCCCCCTGCGAGGGCTCTGTTGTACGGACTTCGTGTGGTTTATGTCGACTTCGGGCTGCGGGGAGCCTTTTCACAATTCTCTGGCCAGGTCCGTGCTTAGGCAGGTGCACTCGGCTTCAGTGTTTCACGTCGAGGACTGCTGTGGATCCGAAAAACCTTAGGAAAGCCTGAGAGCTTTGCAGAAGTGATTTCCATCCCGCGACTCGCTTAAACGGGTGCTAGAAACCTGCACCGGGTCGGGTGAGAACACCCGAAAGGCTCGCTAAGGCAGACTCCCAGACTCAAGATCCTGCAATCACAGCCATCTTGGGGCGATCCTTTCGGCCATAGGCAGGATTCCCTGCAGCTTGACCTGGTCAGCTAAGCGCGTGGGACCAGTAGGCACACGAGCTGAGCATTTGGGGCTGTAAGGTTGGCTGAAAAAACTCCCAGGCTATTTCCTGATCGGGCCGTTCACCTCCCTCGGCCCTTTGAGGAACACGCCTGAGGCCTTGCACGTCTCAGGTTTTCGGGTCTTCAGCTTGATACCAGTGCCAGAAGCACGAAGCCCATGCAAGCAGCCGGGGACATGGGGCCGTTCATCACTGCATTGGCGGACTCTGAGAGGCTGCCACGGTCGGATTGCTTTGCGGCTGCGCCATCGTTGGCATTGTTTCCGCTCGGAACCCAGTGCAGACTGGAGCAAGACTGGTTGGTCAGTAGGTCGCTGGGACGGTAGAAGTCCAATCTTCAAGCAGACAGAGCGAGTTGTGTGCCGTGGTCCCCCGAATGGCACAGATTGGTGGATTGATCTTCGGCTCTACCATCAAGCCTACTCGCTTCGACAAGGCCAGTTCCGTCTGATAGCTTTTGCTTGGCAGGGGAACTGCACACGTCGGGCTTGTGGGGGGTGTGGAAAGTAGGCAGAAGGGGTTCAGAACATCAGCGTGACGGGCTTGTCTGTCATCATGTAGTTGAGCCTTGAGGCGGCCCGATGCGAAGCACTGACATCCCCAAATCTCCCAATCGTGACCTTAGCCCCAAACCTTGCCTGGACTTGCCCGCGCGTGAGTGTCAAAACAGCACCCCAACAGGCGGGTCGCAAAGCGGGCCCTGCCCAATAGTAGACTATAGACCGGTTAGTTGATCTACCCCACCCCCCAAAAGCAAAGCGCTCCAAGCTTGACATCGCAGCTTCGAAGGACGGCGACAAACCGGGAGCCGGCTTCCTGGCTAAGCTGACGAGTTCTTGCGTCTTGTGAAAGATATTGGGGACAGCAGTTTTTGAATAGCATTCCCTGGAGTGGCTTGATACATTGCTTCAGTATTACATCAAGATACAAGTCTGGCATGAGGCTTTCTTCGGCCTCGAAATTGTGCAGAATTCAGCGGGCGATGAAACCGATCTAGCTGTGTCATACTGTTATACTTCAGCAGGGTAGCACTGAAGTCATGCCAAATCAGAACCTCCTCACCTCAGGCTTCATCGAGATGATCAATTGGCATGCCGTTGGGGGTTTGGGCGGAGCTGGATTCGCGCATGCTCTCATCACGGCCTCTTGCCTGGACGATGCTGAGCAAATCGTGCGAATGATGGTCTGAATCGAGCAACTGTCGGTTGCCTTGTTTTCAACCAACATCTGGGACCGACGGTAGTGTGGACGTCCCCACACCCAAAATACCACGGAGCAAAGTCAGCAAGCACATGCGCCTTGCCCTGCTGCGCGCAGGTCTTTGGTTCCGGCTAAGGATGCAACGAGCTGAGACGAGCTTCTTTTTGAAGGGGCACCTGCGGCATCTGGCTGTACTCTCCTTGCAGACGGTGTTGCACTACAGTACAGATACGGAAGGATGGATAGGGCGTAGCATTTGTCCCGGGATGACAGCCAGGCACGCAGGACCTGCAGTGGCCGGAGGGCTTGAGTGTTCTTCAACCAGACTAACACACTGTCTGACAGTCGTGATGAAGCATGCCTGCACTGCTTCTACTACGACACTAGGGGCTAGGATTCAGCCGGCTGCGCAAACCACTTGGTCCTCCTGCATTGACTGCAACAGCTGGTTCCACGGGCCATTGCAGTCTGCAGACATTGCGAGGTCCAGGGACCATCCAGTGCCTTGTACAGGCTCAAAACGAGCGGCCCCTGTGCCATCGCAGTTTGCTGAGTTGAAAAAGTCCGCAGTACTAGTGAGATTCCGAACTCGCGGGCCTCAGGCTGAGGGCATCATCGCCCCTAAGGGTCGAAACTGCTAAGCTTGGCTTTCGGCTCCCGAGGATGGCTCCGCCCAGACGGCTGCCATCTCTGCCTGTGCAGAGGCCCGCCCTGGGGTGCACAAAGGAACCCTAAGCTCCATGCCCGCGAGCCTGTACCCTGCAGGCTCGTCCTTCCTAAGTAGGTAAACCAGCGACGCTTGTCTTGAAGCCTCCAAAGCCTGCCCGTTTCTGGTTCACATCTCAAGCCCAAGCCTGCTGCACTTAAGAGGTTGGCCAGTGGCAGCGTGCTGCCCAGCTCCAGTGGTGTGGGCCGGCGGAGCCAGGCCACAGCCTTTCAGAATTTCAGGTTCTCTACGGCTGGGCAATTTTTGGAACTATTGTTGGCTTCGGGGTTGGGTTGAGAAAGCCAGCCGCACTTTGTTGCCGATGGTATGCTCAGCAATACTCACTGCACTTCAGCTGCTCCAATTCTTCATTCCACAAAATGTGTAGGCGATGTGACCATCTTCGGTGCAACCTTGTCTGCAGCGGCTGCTTCTTGGCCACAGGCTCTGACTATACAGGTGTCACTGCAGGCGCATCCTTGCTGCCTTGGTTCAAGGGCCTGTCAAGTTGCATGAATCCAAAGCAACATGAGGAGTCCGATGGTCAGGAAGAGGTCCCTGCCTACAGTATGATGATTCCGCCAGGACGCTGGCTTACAGGGCAACGCCATCACTTTCAATTCCCTGGCGCAGGAGCCGAGTTGCGTGAAACTTGCAAAAACAAGGGCTCTACTTGGAAGATGTTTCTGTCCTCGTGTCGAATCCCGAGAAGGCCTTCCAGTTCGGCATGCAGTGGCAGCGGGCCGTCATGCTGCAGGCATCAGGGCCATCAGGGTTTGCAGCTAGATGGACTCCAGACGGTCGGCCTGAGAGAATCTGCTCTCCGGTCTCGGGTGCTTCCACTAGACTTTGCCTTGGCTGTGAGATTCGTGTTTCAAGCCCCAAACTCTGCATTCAAGCTTCACTTCTAGGATGCCTTCGTTGAGAGCCATATCCCCTCTGGCTCTTCTTTGCCGAATCATTCAGCTGCTAGGAATGCTGGGTCACGCCGGAGGGCGATCCATTGGCTTACAGCACCCTTTTCCAGGCCTGCTCTGATTGCAAACCTCGGAGTTCGTAATGAGTCTTTCAAAATTTCTTCAGCTGGGGCCCCTGTGACTCGAGGTACATTGATCCCTAAACCTTGAACCCTGTGTGAGGGGCAAACAGAACGCAAACCGTCGAGGTTCAAAGCACAACGTAGCAGTTGGGTGGCGGCAGGGGTAGAGGAAACCCCTTGTCGTTGTTCGGAGGATCAGGCGAGACAGTTACATATAGATTATTGCCCACTCATGTCTAGGCGTCCAAGCCCTAGCTCCATTTCCCTGAACTCGATCATGGTCTTCAATCCTATCTCGTAAGCCCTCCTCCCATCCCTCAACCCTTCTCAAAGCTAAGATCCAAGTTCCCTCCCCAGGCATGTGCTTTGGCGGCGGCCTGTCCTCCAATGCCAGCCCCTTATATGGGGGTTTCCAAAAATCGGGGACCCTCATATAGTACCCTAAATACTAGGATCCTTATTGTAAGGATCCCAAAATAAGGTACCCCCTTGTTTTCGGAAACTCCCATATGGGCCAAAAAGAAGTGACCTCGATGGTCACGCGACAAAGGGACATGGCAAAACCAGGCCAGCCAAAACTACTGGAACATATGTGACACGTATGGATGGGGATTGGATTATATACAACTGGCGCAATACAGATTTCATGTATACATATGTATGTAAGTGTATATACATATATACATATACGTCTGTATTCTCTATACAGGCTAATATATATATATATATATATATATAGGTTATACACAGGCAAATTAAAGGGGTGCCTTTTTGGCGGTGTATTTGGTGATCTCCATAAGAGCACTGAGGCCAGCCCTGGGCTCTCGCCTCCGCCACGCGCTGTTTTTGGCGCTTGCGGCCCTGTGAGCCCGGGGCGAGGTAAGCTCAGGTACATCATAGTACATCATCGTATATCAGTATAGAACATTATATTTACATTAGTGTACATTATCGTATACAGTAGTATAGTAAAGTATTATAGCTCATTATCGTACATTATAGTACTTTAGTACAGTATCGTATATGATCGTACAGTATAGTGTATCGCAGTACAGAATATTTATATCATAATTGGTATACATAGCCGCGATTACGAGGCACCCCGTGGCCAGAAACAAAGAAGTAGACTTCACACTCCCTGGCCACCGGGCCACTCCCAGGCTGTCGAAGATGTCCTTGGGCTAAGCCTCGAAAGCCCTCTCTATGATCTTTGAAAAAGAAGGGTGTGCAGTCAACTGAAAGGCTAACCGCCACTTGGCCGTCCTCGTACTTGCATGGGCGGGGCCGCAACACTCAGCCCTTGTGAAAGCATTTGGTTGGGTTTTGTGCCTTGAGTTCAGGGCATTGATTTTTAGGACTGCGCAGTATCCTTCAGTACTGTCAGGGAATCCATTCCAATGGGCTGATTGATGTGCGTCCCCGCAGCTGGGTAGAAATCTGAACAAAGGCGCGCAGCTGCAAGAAGTGTTCTCCAGGAGTGTGTCCAGCAACCGAACCTCCATAAAACGGAACTACCTCCCTGAACGAACACACACTCTCCGGAGTTTCTAGACTCTTAAAGTTTAGGAACCTACATGAACCTACCCCAAACTCTAAGCCCGAAGTCCTGACGCAACTCCAAGTCCAAAACCCCAAAGACCTTGGCCAAACTCCACCAAAGAGCGAGCCTCCTGTCGTGGCGGAGGACTTTGCAAGGGCCTTCAGGGTGCAGCTCGAAGACCTGGGGCCAGGTCCGGGAAGTTTCAAGACGCTGTGCTTGGGGGCTTATGGGGATTTATTCCGTTTTTTTTCAGAAAGGGTTCTTGAAGTGTTTCTGAAAAAGGCTGGCTGTAAAGGGTTCTGGAGGGTCGAATCCTCCATGTTCAACCTGCCGGGGGGCTTTGGGGTTTCAGAGGTCTTGGGTTCAGGGGTGTGTGGGGGTGTTCGAAGGCCGGTTGTGTCTTGGGCCTGGGAGACTTGGGGTCCTTGTTGTGTATGAAGTGTGGGAGTTGGGGTCTCTGAAGCGCGAGGCACCGAGCAGAGCGTCTCCGTCGTGCTGGAGCTCCTGAAGCCTGGGAGCCTGGATGTGCGGAGGTACCCTGAATGAACCCTGGAGCCCGGCAGCTCTGCCGACAATCTCGGCTTCGCATACAGCGACGCTGTAAGGATCAAAAAACCTACCCAGCAACTTAGGATTCGTGCTTTGGGCGGACGTGGAGACTATCCTTGTTGCGTTTACCCTTACTTTACAGCCTCGCCTGCCTCGCCTGGAGAGTCCCAGTGGGAGCGTCGAAATCCCCAGCTTGTTGAAAGGTCCTTGGCTCGGTTTGTGGGAACCCCGAGCCCTGAACTAAACTCGCTTGATGACTTAAACCCAACCGCAGCCATTTCCACCAGATTTTTTGCGCGTACCTTTCTTGCAGAGCTCCCGAAGCCGCCATGGACCTAAATCCTTTGGCTACCTACGTCAAGGAGAGAGAGGGCAAGCGGGTCATCCGCAAGATCCTCATCTCGAACAATGGCATGGCAGCGGTCAAGGCGATCTTATCCATGAGGAGGTGGACCTTCACCGAGTTCGGGTCAGAGCAGCTTATTACTTTTGTGGCCATGGCGACGCCAGACGACCTAAACGCAAATGCCGAGTTCATCCGCCTTGCCGACTCCTTTGTCGAGGTCCCCTCTGGGAAGAACGTCAACAACTATGCAAATGTCGACTTGATTTGCAAGATCGCACAGGAGCAGCAGGTGGATGCCGTCTGGCCCGGTTGGGGCCACGCCAGTGAGAACCCAAAGCTCCCCGCAAAGCTCAAGGAGATTGGCATTACCTTTATCGGACCACCCTCCGGAGTGATGGCAGCCCTCGGAGACAAGATCGCGGCCAACATCCTCGCGCAGACCGCCAAGGTTCCGAGCATCCCATGGAGTGGTGATGGCCTCACCTGCACCCTTACGGACGAGGGCACCGTGCCGGACGAGGTCTTTAACAAGGCCATGGTCCGCACGGTGGAGGAAGCCGTGGAGCGGGCTGAGAAGGTTGGGTTTCCGATCATGGTGAAGGCCTCCGAGGGTGGTGGTGGCAAAGGCATCCGAAAAGCCACGAACATGGAGGAGCTGAAGGTGGCTTTCACGAACGTGAGCACGGAGGTTCCAGGCTCGCCCATCTTCTTGATGCGGATGGTCTCGAAGGCTCGCCACTTGGAGATCCAGATTTTGGGCGACGAGTATGGCAACACCCTGGCGCTGAACGGCCGCGACTGCTCCACCCAGCGGCGCTTCCAGAAGATCTTCGAGGAAGGCCCTCCGACCATCGCGAAGCCGGACGTCTTCCACGAGATGGAACGGGCGGCCATGCGCTTGACCGCGCTGGTCAGCTACCGGGGCGCCGGCACTGTGGAGTATCTCTACAGCCCGGAGACCGATACCTTCTGCTTCCTGGAGTTGAACCCACGTCTCCAGGTGGAGCATCCCGTGACCGAGGCTATCACTGGAGTGAACATGCCCGCAACGCAGTTGCAGATTGCCATGGGCATCCCGCTCTACAACGTCCCGGACATCCGAAGGTTCTACGGCATGGACCCGGCGGTCTGCTCCAAGATCGACTTCTTCGCCGTGGACTACCCGCCCATCACTTCGCACTGCTGCGCCTCCCGCATCACCGCCGAGAACCCCGACGAGGGGTTCAAGCCCACCAGTGGCAAGATCAACAGTGTTCGCTTCCAGTCTGCCGGCGACTGCTGGGGCTACTTCAGCGTTGGCCTGAAGGGTGGGATCCACGAGTTCGCGGATTCCCAGTTCGGTCACATCTTCGCGAAGGGTCCGAACCGAGAGGCGGCGAGGAAGAGCCTCCGCTTCGCGCTCATGAACCTGGACATCTCTGGAGACATCCGCCACCCCGTCGACTACTTGGTCGATTTGATCGAGACGCAGGCCTACAAAGAGAACACCATCGACACCATGTGGCTCGATGGGCTCATCGCCAGCAAGGCAATCTCCCCAAGCACTGGCGTCATGGACGTGGTCTTCTATGCGGCAGTCTACCGCGCCTTCAGCATGGTCCAGTCCCGCACACAGGATGCGCTTGAGGCCATGCAGAAGGGCCAGCTGGTCCTGCTTGGCAAGAGCGACACGGATGCCCTGGTGAACTTCCCGGTGGAGATCACCTACGACGGCAAGAAGTTTTGCTTCCAGGTCTCCAGATTGCGAAGCGATGTCTACGCCTTCACCATCAACAAGAAGACGCTGAAAGCCAAGGTGCGGCAGCAGCCGGACGGATCCCTCTATGTGAGCATCGGCAGCATCAGCCAGCAAGTGAAGGGCCAGGAGGAGGCTCTGGGCCTTCGTCTGATCATCGGCGCTCAGACCATCATGGTCCCGACGGTCTACGACCCCTCGGAGCTTCGCTCCGACGTGAATGGAAAGGTGGTGCGCTACCTCCATGACGAGGGCACCGAGATCGGCAAGGGTGAGGCCTACATCGAGTTGGAGGCCATGAAGATGATCATGTCACTGAAGTCCGGTGAGGCCGGCAAGATCTCCCATTCCCTGAGCCCGGGCGCCATCGTCTCTGCCGGGGAGGTCTTGGCGAACCTGCAGCTAAAGGACCCCTCGAAGGTGAAGAAGATCGCCCTCTTCGAGGGAGACTTCGAGATGAGTGCCAAGCCCGAGCCGGATGTGCCCGCCCCTCGCGAGGATTTGCAGGCTTTTTTGGACGGCTACCACTCGGAGCAGAAGGGACCCCAGCTCGTGGAGCAGATGTTCGCGAGCTTCGCCAATCGCGAGGCAGCCTCCGAAACCGTGCGTGGCGTGCTGGAGAAGTACCTGTCCAACGAGCGGCCCTTCGCCGCATCCATTGAGAAGAAGCAGCCTTACGACAAGCTCTTGCTGGACCTGATCAACGAGGGCAAGGATTCGCTGGAGAAGGTCCTTTTCATGGTAGCCGCTCACAATAAGCTCGCGGAGCGATCCAACGCCGTGATGGCCCTGATCCGCGAGATGCTGGCAGCCGAGGGCTCCGGCATGTCCTGCATGTATGTCCCCGACCTCCACCTGGAGGATGACATGGCCGGCGCGGTGCAGGAGAAGATCGTGGAGCTCTCGCAGCTGCCCAGCTCCGCCGCTGTGGCCGGAGACTACGGCAACGTCCGGTACTTGGCGCAGCAGCTGCTGGATACCGTTCCCCAGGAGTCCTACGAGGAGCGCGGCAAGCACTTCTGCGAGCAGCTTGCGGCTTTGAAGGAGGACACGGTGAAGGCGATGACTTTGGAGCTGCCCGGCGCCGACTCGGACGGCAGCCTGGAGATGGAGCTCCTGGTGGAGGCACTCAGCGACTCGGACGCGAAGATCCAGGAGCGGGCCATGCACGCCTACCTCTCCTGGCTGGCAGCCCCAAGCCGCCTAACCAAGGTCGAGGTGCTTCCCGCCACGAAGAGCGCGGTGTGGACGCAGTTTTTTCCCGTGACTGCGGAGCAGGAGCACAACCGCCATGGCCTTCTCACCGTCGTGGCAGACCTCAACGGGCTTGAGTTGGAGAAGCTCTTGGCTCCTTTGGTCAAGCTGCAGAGTGGCGTGCAGGGGGTTCCTATCAACTTCCTCCACATCGTCGTGGGACGTGATGCCTTCCCATCCATTACAGACCGCACCCTCTTCTACAACACTGACTCCGAATTGCAGCAGGTGCTGAAGCGCTGCCAGGGCATCTTCGCAAGGCAAGCAGAGCTCCTGAAAGCGGCCGGCGTTGGAGAGATCTGCGTGGCCCTGCCGCAGCCGCCAAGACACCCCCGCTTCGTGAAGTTCAGCATCGACCCAACCACCGAGGAGTGGTCCGAGAATGAGATGGGCCGCGACCTGTGGCCTTCCTTCTCCGGCTTGCTGGAGCTGAGCATGCTCCAGCGCCTCTACACACTCCAGCGCATCCACAAGGAGGTACGGCCCACTTCCCACATCTACCTCGCCACACCCATGATGGGGGGCAAGGCCCCCACATCGACGTCGGAGCTCTTGATGAGGGCTCTCTTCCTGTCCGGGGTGAGCAAGGAGTCCTTCAGCCAGAGCCTGACGGACAGCGTGGATGTGGCGTTGGAGGAAGTGGAGCATGCCATGTTGGATCCACGTGTGGCCAAGCTAGGGCCCTCGGTGACCAGCCGGATCTTCGTGCACTTCGTCAGAGAGCTCGACATGGACTTGGCCGAGCTCGAGCAGCGCTTCACTGACACGATCAGCAGCCATGTTGGGCACCGAGGTTCGGAGGTCATCAAGCTCTGCATCGATGAAATCGAGGTGAAAGTGCACCGCCGCGTGGGAGGAGCCACGGAGATCTTGCGCCTTTCTCTGTCCTCCCTGAACGGAGGCTTCCTGAAGCCCAAGATGCTGCGGGAGTTCCCGGACCCTGTCACCGGCTTCCCTCTGCGCTGGGAGGATGTGAAGGGTGCAGCCCCTCTGACGTCCTTGGACCACCCTCACGTCACGGACCCAGCGGCCCTGAGCCGCTACCAGGCCAAGCGGGTGGCCGCCCGCCGCGCGGGCTCCACCTACGCATACGACCTCCCCGGCATGCTCCAGCTGGCTCTGACCATGAAGTGGATCGCTTTCACGGGCACTTCGACGAACACCGCTTCGCCGCGCGGCGAGAAGGCTCCCGGAGGCTCCCGGAGGCGCAGCCCGTCGCCTCGGGGGTCCCGAGCTGGGGTGGTCTCGGTGCCGTCGAAGGTTCCGGAGAGCATGCCCAAGGAGCTCCTGACCGCTGTGGAGCTGGTCATGGACTGGTCCAAGATGGAGTTGGTCGAGACGGAGCGGCCTGAGGGCGCCAACGATCTGGGTATGTTGGCCTGGAAGCTGACCATGAAGACGCCGGAGTGCCCCGAGGGCCGTGTGGTGATCTTGATTGCCAACGATGTGACTTTCCAGGCCGGGTCTTTCGGCGTCCGGGAGGATCACTTCTTCCAGAAAGCCTCGGAGCTCGCCAGGAAGCTGGGACTTCCTCGTGTCTACGTGTCCTGCAACAGCGGGGCGCGCGTGGGACTCGTTGAGGAGCTGAAGCCCCTGTACAAGATCCAGTGGTGGGATGAGAAGGATTGCAGCAAGGGCTTCGAGTACCTTTACCTGACCAAGGAGGACTATGAGAAGCTGCCTCCCGGCACCGTGGAGGCCCGAAAAGTTTCGGAGGGTGGCCAGGAGCGCTACATCCTGGATGCCATCATCGGGGAGGGCCTAAAGAGCACCCAGGGAGGCATCGGCGTGGAGAATCTCCAGGGCAGCGGCCTCATCGCCGGCGAGACCAGCCGCGCCTACCAGGAGACTTTCACCCTGTCCTACATCACCGGTCGCTCCGTGGGAATCGGTGCTTACTTGAACCGCCTGGGCCAGCGAAACATTCAGATGGTCAGCAGCCCCATGATCCTCACAGGCTACTCTGCTCTGAACAAGCTTCTGGGCAAGAACGTCTACTCCTCTCAAGATCAGCTTGGTGGACCTCAAATCATGGTCCCAAACGGCGTCACGCACCAGGTTGTCCGGGATGATCAGGAGGGCATGTCCGCGATCTTGGACTGGCTCTCCTACGTGCCCAAGGACGTCTCCTGCCTGCCACCGGTGTGTCAGCCTGCCGGCGCGGACCCCTGGGACCGGGATGTGGAGTTCGAGCCGACTCAGCTTCCCTACGACCCCCGTGACTTCCTCCGTGGCGTGATCGACTACGAAGGAAACCGGAAGCGCGGCTTTTTCGATGCCGGCTCCTGGACCGAATATCTTGAGGGCTGGGGGAAGACCGTCATCGTGGGTCGGGCTCGGCTGGGCGGCATGCCCATGGGCGTGATTGCGGTGGAGACTCGGAGTGTGGAGCGCCTTGTGCCAGCCGACCCCTCGAACCCGGCAAGCGCTGAGGTGAAAGAGCTGAACGGCGGCAAGGTCTGGTTCCCCGACAGTGCCTTCAAGACAGCCCAGGCTCTCAGGGATTTCAATCGTGGCGAGAATTTGCCGGCGATCATCTTTGCCAACTGGCGAGGCTTCTCCGGCGGCACCCGCGACATGTTCAACGAGATCCTGAAGTTCGGCGCCATGATCGTGGATGCCTTGGTGGACTACGAGCACCCGATTTTCATCTACATCCCCAAGCACGGCGAGCTCCGGGGCGGCGCCTGGGTGGTCATCGACCCTGCCATCAACCCAGACAAGATGGAGATGTATGCGGATGTGGATGCCCGCGGCGGAATCCTTGAGCCCCCTGGCATCGTCGAGGTCAAGTACCGCGCGCCGCAGCAGATCGAGGCCATGCACCGCATCGATGCGAAGCTCAAAGACCTGGACTCGAAGCTGGAAGGGAGCCAGGGCCCTCAGAAGCTCGAGGTGGAGAAGGAGATCAAGGCGCGTGAGAAGCAGCTGCTTCCGCTGTACACCTCGGTGGCAACGACCTTTGCCGACCTCCACGACCGAGCTGGTCGAATGAAGGCCAAGAACGTCATCCGCGACAGCATCTCCTGGAAGGACTCCCGCCGTTACTTCTTCTGGCGCGTGAAGAGGAGGGTCTTGCAGGATCACATGATCAAACAGCTGCAGAAGGCGGACCAGACCTTGAGCCACAAGGGCGGTGAGGCGCTGATCCAAAAGTGGGCCGCGGAGAGCAACGTGGACTTCAGCAGCGACATGAAGATGGTCAGCTGGCTGGAATCCCAGAGCATCGAGGCGAGGGCAGAGGCCATCCGAACCGCTTTCCTCAAGAATCAGATTCAGACGCTGTTCAGCCAGCTTCCAGCGGGCGAGAAGGGAGGCCTTCTCTCCAGCCTCAAGGCCTAAGGCCTAAGGCCCCAAGGCTTGAGGCCTGCATTGCTTGTAAAGGGCTTTACGCACTTGCTCCCGTCGACGGTTCGTCAATACAGCCATAAAGCCCCAACCCGAAACCGTATATCGAGGGGAGTGAGAATTAATATTCGGGCACAGCCGCTGTATACAGCCTGATAGAAGAGGCGACGGCTGTGGCCATTGCAGCATTTATCGCTCTACTCAAATTTTTCCTTAATTCAACTTTTAGTCGGCGCGGTCCCCAAAAGGCGTCGATGATTGATTTCCGGCTAGATGCACTGGCACGAAACAGTGCCAGACGCGTTTTGCTGTTTTGCTAATTCGGCTGCTGGTAAGGCGGCACATGGCGACCCACCCAAAAAGCAAGCCCTCCGTAGCTGTCTTCGCTTTCTTTTCCTTCCTGGAGAGCTTGCCGGTGGGCCTCCCAAACTCCCAAGCGATTTCTCACCAGACGGAAAAAAGCCGAACCGACCTGAAGCCACAGTGCTGAGCCGTCGACCGAACCAACCTTGCCGGCGCAGTCCGAGTTCCGGAAGCCAAAACCGAACGGGCAACAGCATTCGGCTCGAGACGCACCGCACAACAATTGCTAGTTCTGCTCCAGGGGGCTCTTCGCGGCATGTCTTTCATGGTCCTTGCCTTGTGTGCCTGAGCCTTCAGGGCCGTGGCTGCAACTCGGACGATGCCGCCGGTTGTGGTGCCACCGACGCCACCGTTGCGGCCAGCGCGGGCATCGATGTCGGCATCTGCAGCAGCAGCAACAGATATGTGCAGTGCATCAAAGACCCCGGCTGCTGATCCGATAGCGATGCGCTCGGGCCTGCGAGGTAGGAGTGGGCAAATAGCCGCTCCAGCAATGCAGGAAGTGGAAATCAGTTACTAGGGCCTAGTAGCCTTCAGCCTTTCGTTTCGGAGAGTTAGAGACTCTCCGTGAGTTGCCTCTGCTGGGATGCTGGAGCTGCATCAGGCAGGCCATATGCGTTAGTTTCAAGGATTCATCAAAAAAAGCTTCTGAGCACCTGTCGGGCATCCGCTTCTTGCACGACCCCTGTAAGGCTGTGTAGAAAGATCCGAGCCTCGCGCAGACAGAAGCCTCAAGAGTTCCTGGACTCCCCGGCGCCCGGAGCAAAAGAGACATCCAGGAACGGCGGCATCTTCCATGAGCTCTTCTATCCCGCATTGCTCTGAGATGCCAGTGCCACTAAAGATGTTGCTGGGAAGGAGTGAGGGGTGGGGTGCCTCTGGATGTCGGAGTTGCGATGGACAGCGTCTTTTCCCCACAACATGAAGGCATGTAACCAGCAGCCGCCACAAGTCTGTTGACCGAGGCTTTACCAGAGGACGACGGCGAGGTGTCTTGGAGCGTTGCAACAGAATCCGATTTCGGCGTCGTAGTCGTTTTCGGAGTTGTGGTAGTGGGAGTGGTAGTGGGCGAAGAAGTAGAAGGAGAAGCAGTAGCAGTCGACAAGCCTTGCAGCCAGGACGGCGAGTCAGTGGAGGATGAGCCGGCAGGAGCCCCCTACTCGCGAGCCTTGGGGCCCGACACTGTCGCTTGATGTCTGAAGGGGCTTGTCGATGCACGTTGTCGGTGAGTTTGGAACGGATGGAAATCAGCGTCAACCCGAGACAAACATGGTAAGATTTATTAAGACTTTGTGGTGAGCTGTATGCCCTCGCGGGCCTCAGATACACGCACAAACATGCATATGGCACCAGGAGATGCAGAAACCTGAGCCGAAAGAGGCGGGCCGTTTTCGCTTCAGTTTCACCGACGGACCGACGGGGTGCCTCCCTCCTGTCCCGTTTCTCCCGGCTCCAAAACGGGGCTCCAAAAAGCGTTGCCGGAGGCGGCCGACCTCGGCCTGAGGTTCAGGGTTTGGGGTTTCATTTCATCAATCAGTCTCAGGCGGCACGATGTTAATGCCAGGAATGGTTTCTGCCGGCCTCGGGCAAATACCAGCGATGAAACGCATCGTGGACGTGGTCAAAGTGTGTGTTCTGCTGAGCAGTCTCGTGGTCACGCCATCGGCACCGGCTTTGTCCCAGGAGTCTTAAACGAAATGAAGAAATCTGGCCTAGCTAGCTCCTGGTTAAGCTGACACACCGACACACCGAACTACTCCGGAAAGACTTTGGTATGCCTTGTCAAAGCACGTTCTGCCAAGGGACCGGAAGCTTCGGGAGTCATTCTCTCAATTGCATGAGCGAGTCTACAACCCGCGAATCTTCTCAACTACTGTTGTCTTGGCCGATCCTTTTGAGCTGTCGCGCCACGGGGTTTTGGGCTTGACTCCCCTTCTTTGCCAGATTGCGGCTCAGAGAGCATAGTGCAGAAAGCCGACAGCCCATGAAGCGCGCAGAGCCGCACTCTACCTGCAGTCCCCAAATCTCCTTACTCTTCGCATGGGTTGTAGCAGGACCGGGAGCTTCGGGGATGCTTGGTTGGGTCAACTCCAGCCGCAGCCAGGAAGCCAAAACCTAGGAAGCTCCGTGACAGCTTCTGGGCCTGAGCTCTACGAGCCTAAGAGCTGGATCCTCCCTCCAGGCACTAAAAAAAAACACCAAGCTTGAGATCCTTAACTCCTCAACCTTAAACTCGAAACCCTTGAAAAGACCCCGAAGCCCAAAGCCTAAACTCCAGGACCTGAGCCCTAAACGCAAAACCCTAACAGCCGCCCGACTGCGGCGATGGTGGCCTCATGTGGGCCTCGGGTTTCTGCCGGGGCACCCCAGCAGTTTCGACGGGGTGATGCTTATCGGGGGCGAAGTTTTGCAGGCTTTCGGGGTAGCTGACAGTCGTGTGGATTGTGTCAGTTTTGCAGTTTGGGTGGGTTTTGCAAGTTTTGTGCAACATTTCTGCCGTGCGTGATGTGAGTCCCGGCAGCTGCCATACTGCGGTCGTAGAACTAGCTCTGCACCATCTTCTGGTGGCAAGGACGGCTTGAGTGACAGCAGCTGCCTCAGTTTTCCTGGACTGACTTCTCTTCGAGGGTTTACAGCCGATGATAGACGCTGGTACCGCACACCTGAACTGACTGCATCAGCCAACAGCCTACACGATCCCAAACAGCTGTCGTGCTGCTTTTTCACGGAGACACTTCAGCTTTGTACACTCCGAAGGGTGAGCTCGCTCGTGACCGGTTGGACAATGGTCGGAGATAAGATCAGATTCTTCTCGGAACTGATGGTGGTCATGATGGAAAACTTGGTACGGTCCATCCCACAGCCCAGATGGATATCTTGTCAATGGGTTGATTTGTGTACAGTTGTCTGGACCCTGATGTTCTAGACTCGGAGTACCCTTGAAGGCTTGCCTGGACTGCCCTAGCTGCAAGAGTTGAAGCTGCGTCGATCATCCGTTCCGCCAGCTTCCTGGCTCTGCCAGCACGCCTCGAAATAGCTTCTCTATAGAGCCCTTGAGAGAAACAGCGACCAGACTCCTGTCTACCCAAAGAGTCGAAGAGTTGTTCAGATTGGTTGTGTTCTCAACGCCTGACACGTGAAAGGTCCTGTGTAGAGTTCTGATTTAGAAGCACCTCCTCGCATGAAAGCCACACAGTCCAGGACAGGTGGGGGCTGGAAGCAGCCTTTGTTGATTCACTTCGCTGCCGTATCGGGATTAGAATGGCAGAAGTTCAGACGTTCAGAAGTGCAGGTGCCAAACGAGCTCCCAATCATTCTCCCCAAAATCCACAACCGAAATTCAAGCAGACGGAGCCTTTCGCCTTCCTAAGAAAAAAATCGCCTAGACCCCTAAACCCTACACCCTCGGAGGACGACCTCAGATGACACTTCAGGATCCGAAGCGCCTCAAGGGCTCGCCGTGGCCACAGGCCGGGAGACGAAGGGACGCAGGGGGTGAGTTGTCCCATTACTGTTGGGGTTTAGGGTTTAGGGTGACTAAGTCTGGGTTCACAAGAAGGGTATGCAAGTCTCTAAGTAGGGGAATTCCCAAGCTTGAGGCCCTGCTGGCCATCGAAGAGCTGCGGGCGTCTGCCGCGCCAAGGACCGGCCCAAGCCAGCGTGGCGTTCATCCTACTTCACGTGGAGCAAGCCTCACCACAAGTGTGTGTGTGTGTGTGTGTGTCTGTGTGTGCGTGCAGGAGCACCATCCGGCACAACATGGTGCTCAACTCCTGTGCCAAAGCCCAAAAGTGACGAGGTTGCAACAACGTCGACAGATTGCAGTTAATGTCTTCATCCCAGATCCCTTCAATACTTCCCTGCAGTGCGAAGACATACTTAGCCCCAAAACCGTCTTCAGCCTCAATCTCGGATTCCTTGAACCCTAAGCCTCCAAACCCAAAACAAAAGAGATTCAGAGCGAGGGCCCGCCAGCACAGGTGGCGACACTGCCTGCAGCTGCAACACGAGAGCGGCTTCGGCAACCTTGCACCTTGATCTCTGTGGTAAGCAGGAGGTCGGAATAAGCAGAAATTCTCTTCTATCCCCTTTCCGTAGACATTTTTGTTCAAACCGCTTCAGCTTCTTGTCCCTCGTGTTGGTCGTGTTGTACGCGGGCATGCATGGCGGATACTTGCTCGGCATGAGAAGTCCGCCCTGCAATTTGTACTGCACGTCCGGGTCCACCGGAGGCAGCGATGAGGCACCTGAGTTCTGCTTGACACATGGACAATTCCGCTGCCGTTTCTACGATTTCTGTCGAGCCAATCCATGCCCACTTGGGGGATCAGACACGCTGGCACAAAACAGGCCCAAAACCCGATTGCATGTGACAGGTCCATGTGACTGCCGCTTGTTCGGGGTTCCTGCATTCACACGGCAACGCATGACAAACGTCGCTCTTGTTGCTGCGTGTTTGAGGAGACCGGTTGTAGCAGTGCTCGTTTGCAAGCCAGCTGAAAAAATTCTGATGCATGCGCAATGTAGACCTTGTCACGTGCCTCTGATGAAGTTTAAGTGTAGTCCCTCCGGACTTGTGAGTGCCGCCAGTAAACTTGCCTGGGACGTGTTTTGATCTTGGACTTTGTCGCATAAGCCAGATTGTGACGTGCGTGTGCGCCTAAACTCTGCACCATTATGGAAGCGATTTGGCCAGAATCAAGCCAGTTGGCCTGGATTTGAGCTGAGGAACAGCCTGGAGAGGTTTGTCATGCGCGTGTCCTGTGTGTTGGCCACGATGCTATGGAGCATCTGTGGCTGGCATATATATATATATATATATATTTGGGCTGTATCATCACGGACGTTTCATTTGACGTCGTCATGGTGTGATCCTGTTATTGCAAATCCGCAGTTGCTCATTGCTCTCTGCCGGGGCTGGTTGCCTTTGCTGTTTTGCTGTGGCCTCTTAGTTCCCTGTAACTGGCCATGGAAATGGTGTGGCATGTTTTTTGTCGCTGATTGGTGTATGCGACTTACAAACACGACCAGACAATGCAGCTTCGTTAGCCAAATACGTGAAGTCATCGTGTTCACCGCAGTGAACGGACACCCGCTGCTGGCATCTGGCGGGTGATCCCGCCGACACAGACGTGTTTGGCGACTCAACCACGACGAGGTTGATGTTAGGAGCACAGTGCATGTTACAAGACACCTCGGCGCAGTATGGGCGCACGCGCAGTCAGCGGCAACGGCGTGGTCTGATAAAACTTTCATTGCCGGACAGGCAGTATAGGTTCTGGTTTGAGAGGATGATATTTCATTACGACCGGCCCTTGCCTGTGAACCCTTCATGAAGCAGTTCTTCCTCAAACTGCAGTCGCTTGCTGCTACTTTTCCGATGTGGTGTTGCGCTTTGTTGGGCGGCAAAAGCTTATTAACAGCTGCGGCAATTGTAACAACCTGTCAACGATACCGGGTTTTGCTTCACTGTGACTGGACTGCACTGTGCAGGGTCATGCTTGCCTTTGCCGTCACACGGACGTTTTTTCTGCTGTTGCATGACTATAGTCCGTCGCCACCTTCGTGCACGGCTGCCGCTGATCGTGGCTTGTGCACAGGTTACGCAGGTTGCGCGTGTTGCGGAATGTGGCTGATGGCCGGGGGACCGAAACAAGAAAGGTCAATCTGATTCCATTGCCGTTTTCCAAAGACCGTCCTGAATTTTGATGCCTCTCGTTCTGGTAGCGCTAGGCACGGCTCCAGAGCCGACATCGATGGCCGATATCGAAAAGAAAAAATATAGTTCCCGTATACTTATGCTTGAATGGTCCGAAATTTAGAGGCAGGCCCCTACATTAGCAGAACCATTGACTTTATAGCCTTGTGGGTGTATCGGAGCTTACCATTGTATTGGTGGCGGTATCAAATCTTTGTAATAGACGGGTTCACCAGCACTCGCATCCCTTTGTGCTCACGCAGACTCTCGTCCCGGTCTGGGGCGGGTGCAACACTCCGGCACAATCTCTGCGCCCGATGCTATCAAGGTGAGCCAGTCGACAGTCATTGCCGCCGAGGCACAAGTCAACAGGCCAGGCTTGGCTTTCTCGCTCCGGACACGGACCACCTGAGGTGGTCGTTGCGTCGTCAGGGTCAGTCGGTTTCGTTTCAATTGGGCAGACCCGTAATCGCAAGGGTTGCGGTTGCGCAGACATTTGCTTTTCGATGTTCCTTTGGCACAATTGCGATCGCAGGTGGTGCAATGCGCTTGAACGACTGGCGTGCCTCGGCAGCCGGCGGCTGCAGTCGAATGCAGCTGGGCAGAGGCGGCTATTGTCCATCAAAGCAAATTGAACTTAATCCAGGCATGCATGATGGGACGTTTATGCTCGAACGGTAGATGGCAGCAATCAGTTTAGATATTTGGCTTCAGATGAAACGTTTCCCCAACCCAAGGCCGTGGCTACCACAGCTGCTGCTCATGCCATCGGCGGAGCTACGTGGCCTTTGGCAGCTGTTCTGCTGGCGGCACAGCAAGGCAGGGGGGCTACAAACTCTTAGTTTTTCCGACAACAGAAATAAGTGCCTCTCGCATGCGTTTGCGTTTCATTCGTGATATACCACGAGTTGTTGACCACTGCTGCTGCGTCCTTCCCCTCCTCCTCCCCTTCCTCCTCCTCCTCCAACGCCTACTATACCCACGTATGCGGTCCGGCCTCCTCGTGTCCCTGCATGGGTGATGTGGATTACGGTTATTGGGACCACAACCTTCACCTTGTCTTCCAACTTGTCCCCACCTTCGTGCCCTCATGCCGCGGACTCCTGCCGCCGCTACCACTACCAGGACATACCGACGATAATCACTGCCACGACGACCAGGACGACTGCTCGTGTCCTGTTCCTTCTCCGCCGCCTCGTCCTACTCCAGATGGTGCTGCTACTGCACTATCACCACTGCTACGGCTACTCTACTGCCACTGCTGCTGCTGGTGCTACAGCTACTCCTGCTTCTCCTCCTCCTCCTGGTCCTACTGAAACAGCCGCTGCCCCAGCTCCTGCTACCAAAAGCACCACCTTCTCGACAGACCGTGCCATGAATCCTTTAGAAGGGGCTGTAGAGAAGCAGAGCCGAACAGCTTGAACACGATTCCTCGATTCGCCTTGTAGGCTAACAGCTAATCAGGAGGTAGGTCGAGAGGTAGTAAGCGGCACCAGGGCGTTTCCTGACATCTGCGGGGTCCTCCCCACGATTCTGGCCCATCATGGCGCATGCCGTGGCGCGGAGGAGATGTTGGTGCGCAGAACGCGAAGATGGCCCTGTGGGCCGATGGCACGTGGTCTCAGGCACCATGGCACCCGTTTTCTATGCCCGCGCTAAAGTTTTTGTTTACGTCGTTCAATCTTAATGCTGCGATGGCTGCGATTTGGCGACTTGAGAGCTTCGATTGCGGTGTTTGGAGCCTGTGTCAGTTTTGAAATATGAGCTCTTCAGGGCTCTACCACAATCCGCACCATTCCATGTTTGTCCTTTACACCTGGTATGCTGGAGGCGCTGGAAGTCTACGACTCGCTCACACAAAGGATCCCGTTAGGGGTCACGGAGGCGTTTTCGATGACCGACTTGGACAAGCTTGTAGGGAGCTCTCATTGCCGGAGGTGATCAGGCCCTTGTGCAGAGCGAACCTGACCGATTTGTTGTCGCATGGCAAGTGCTTTAGAAGAGTGTGCGAGCTCAAGGAGGCTGACGCCTGATCCCACCAGCACCAGCACCGCCATCATGGCAGCGGCCGAGGCAGGCATGTTTCAGATTCAAGGCCGAGACTCGTTGTCAGTGGCCATTCGAACAGCAGTCCGATGTTGATGCTTTCATGTTGGAGCCACATCACAGGGTCCAAGAGTCTAAGCGCATTGACAGTGATCCGGCAGGGTCTGATTTGGACTTCGGCACTGCATCTTCTCCAGGACGCTCAAGCCAGAGAAATCGGGGTCGGAATCTAAGTTTGCCAACGCAGCGTGCGCTTGAAGTGCAGGAGTTGTGGATTCTGGAGCTGCGGTGCACCACCATACTCCTCAATTCTGCCATCACTGCATGTGGACGCTGTGCTCAGTGGGCGATGGCTTTGGCCATCTTTGCGGACCATTTCACCGAGAGTCTGGAGAGGTGTCTTGTCGTGATCCAGGTTGCGTTCCATGAAATCCCGTGGGCGTCAGGCATGAAGGTGCATGGTTCAAGTACAGGAGCTCTCAAGACTCTTGATGCGGCTGCTGTCGCCGAGGAGCAATGCTACCTACACCACTCTGCCTCGTGGCTTCCGATCTTTGCTTTTCGCGGTTTTGGGTTGTTGACTAGCTATGCGGAAGGGGAACGGGGATTGATGGGGATTGGTTCGAGGATCGGCGCCTGCGAGATGGGAGGTCGGTGGGAGCTGGCCTTGGAGGTTCTGGCTTTGTCGCGGAGCGAGCAGAGGTGCACGAATGCGCCCTGGCCTAACCCAGCCAAGGAAAGAGCCGAAACGACGAAGACTACCGAGGTGACCTTCAATGCAGCTCTGGGCGCCTGCGGGCAGTGTGCGCGATGGCAAGTGGCCCTGCAGCTCATGGAGGACTGGGTGACTGGCTCAAGTGCAGCAAGCTTTGCATCGATTGAAATTGGGCCCTTCCCCTTGGGCTCGGCTCGCCGTAAGGACACGGTGAAGGCGTCCTTTCCATGCGACACTATCGCACACAACACCGCCATGGCAGCCTTTGCCAAGGCCAGGCTCTCTGCTGCCTCTGGAAAGCGTTACTCTACTCTTCTGCAGTTTCTAATTTCGGTCTGCCCGCGAGACCAGATCGCGGTCAGGCCGGACGATGGCAGCACGCGCTGTGGCTTCTCAGCCTCACTTCCGGAGGCACCGGCCTTAGCCTTAGCTAACTAAGCAGGCCTTGAGGTGCTCGCGCGTCCCCTGTTCGACATCTTCGGTTGCAGCAGTGCTGCGCGAATCGGTTGCGGGAAGTTGCCGCCGGAAAGCAACCTTGCGCCGCCTACTCCCCGAGGTGCAGATGTCATCTCCTACGCTACTGTTGCGCGAACTTGTGCTGCAGAATCCGCGTGGCGAATCGCTGCAGCGGTACTTGCAGTGGGTCGGCGAGCCCAGGCGAATGATCCGAAAGGAAAGTGCAGTGGAGGTCGGAGGTTCTGATTTCTTCGAGGTGGGAACGGAATGTTCAAGTTCGGGGCAAACTGTTTCAGCTTCGTCTTTCGAGGATGCCGCACAAGTGCAACGAAAATGCTAGAGCTTCTGCTTCGAGAGGCAAGCTGGGAGTTCAGGGTTCTCTTGACTTGAGGTGGAAATGGACGTCGTTGCACATGGGGGCGTGCTTGATGCCTGTGCTGGGCGCTGGGCAGTGGCGGGCGAAATCCTTGCGGAGATGTACAAGGAGGGAGCAGTCCTCAGCAACATGTGACAGCATGAGTCAATGTCGTGCTTGCTTTCTATTCCTGGTTGTAAGTTGCGCGCGCGTGTCTCCAGCGTGGCTCCAGTCGCTTCCCTGGCGGCATTCTTTGAGAGGAGGGTCTGCATCCCACGGTTCGGTCCTACAGCGCGGCACTCGCAGCGGGGAGAGTGCCATGGAAGCTTCCCGACTGCGCGCCGGAGAAGACCAGAGAAAGAGGGTGTTGAAGAGGGGTGAGTCAGGCATTCTTCAAGTCTGCATCTGCATCTTCCCGGTTCTTTAAGGTTTGCCATGAAGCTGGTGGACCAGCTTCGCGCGAGGAAGATGCAGCTGCCTGCTGTCGTGTGCGATGCAGCCATGGTGGCTTGCGAGAGCTCCGGGGAGTTGGATCATCTCTGGCTGCTTTTGGTCTCCAGTGAGCCGAGGCTGAAACGAGCCTGAACTCCCTTGCATCCCCTTGCCTTCCTTGTCATGCGGGGAAAAGCTTTAGAGACGCTAGAAACCCTCTGAACCCCATCCAATCCTTCAGCCCCAAGCTTGTTTGCGTTGGGGGGTTGGCCTTCCGAGGAGCGTTCGCCCAGTGCCTTCCTCTGGGGCTTGGCCCTGCTGGGTACGTCTGAGGCAGAGGTGATCCAGGAAGCTTGCGGAAGGGCTCTGGTGCACCTGCGCAGGGACCGAAGTCCCTTGGCCGCCCATGGCTCTGAGCCATTTGGTCTCAAGCTCTTGCCCGACCGAAGCCTACCTTATAGCTTTTGCAAACGGCGGTTGTGCCTCCAGCGGCACAACCTACTGTAGACCTTAAGCCTTCAACCATTACACCCTTAGTAACTTATATAAGCCCTGTACACCGATCCAGCCTAAATATCTCTAGCCACAACAAGCTGACACCAGGTCAGATCTCCTGCAATGAGCTGGCCTCCCTTTGGTCGTCCGGGTCTGCGCTCGGAGCGGTGAATCCAAACTTCCAGAGGCAGTGGCCTTTTGAAAGAGTTGTTCAGTTCGGTTCAAGGTTAGTTACGTAAGCTTTACCGGGACCGTCCACTGTTCATGTAATTCGTTTACTGCTTCGCTCCGTTTGTCTCTGCTACAACCACGACAGTATTCCGCACGAAAACAGAGCCTTGACAGAAGAAGGCCTCCTGCTGTCAAGGTCCCGCAGCTCCTCCGAAGCCCGAGCGCAGCACGCAACAGCCACAGGTGCCTGGCAGAGCTCACCGCAGAAATGGAGGGCTTCAGCTTGGAGGAGCTTGTGACAGCGGTATGGGGCGTTGGGTCAGTGCCCTCACCAGAATCTGCCGGAATACTGGCAACTGGGCTGTAGATGCTGTGGTCCAGAAAGTCAAAAAGACTTGTCATCAAATGGTTGTGATACAGTGGTATGCGGCCCTCAATTAGCTTAACCCGAGAACGTTAGAGTACCTGCAGGTAGCAGCGCAGTGGCGAGTGCTGGATATCCTGCGTGGTCTTCTGGACACCAGGAGGGTGGAGAGTCTGATGATGACACGGGATGGCTTGCATGTTCTCGGCGTGCTTTGACTGCACTGGGCATGATGGTTGACGTCGAAATAGGATGTTGAACTCAAACCTTGCGCTTTCCGAAGGTTATGCTCGCCTGCTACCTGGCTGGCTGCCTCTCACAGCAGTTCCGGCGCTTCCTACGCCACACGTTTCTCCATGTCGGCCGTGCCCGGGACGCCGCAAGGCCCGGCAGGCCTGGCCAGCCAGGCACACTGGAGAAGGCATCCTGGTCGCCGTCGCCTTCGCCCCAGGACTCTCAGCTCGGAAGCGTTGGCCCTGAGCAGCCGGCAACAATCATCTGCAGTGCACCCTGCCACGTGTAACTCTAAAAAGCGGTTGTCGAATCCGACACCTAGAAGAAAGGCAGACGAATCGTGGGAGGACTCAAAGCCTGTGCTCGTGATGCGGGATTCCGACCGAGCCGTGCTTTTGAAGCCAGCTGGCTGGGAAGTCTACGGCCAGCACGCTGCCTGCACTTGGTATATCTTGCGGACATAGGGTTGTGGGGTCTTTCAAGATTGGTGGCCTGAAGTCCGGCGGCCAAGGCACGAGTAATTAATTGAGCAATCCGACTGGGCAGGCACACCAAGCGACAGCTGTCTTCGTTTGCCGCCGACGTTTTGGGCTCGAGGCTCCGAAGCGATGTTTGCATGAGCTTGCTATGTCTGCCATGCTTGGCATGAGAGTATGGCACTCTTTGGGTTGTGATTGTTAGTCTTTTCCGGCTGTGAAGTTCATCGACAAGTGACGAGATCTTAGGATTCCGAGGCTCGAGTTCAGTTCGGATGGGGCTATGCTAGGGTGCATGAATTTGCTGGCATGAAGGTCTCAGGCCCTTGAAAGAGCAGGATGGGAGTATCACTATCCCAGGGCTTCCCTTTGAACCGCTGGTCTGGGGCCGATCAGAAGCTGCCAAGCAGTGGAAAGTGTGTCAGCCACCGTCAGCCTCCTGCCTCTAAACCCGGCAGCGAAACCCCAAACCCAAAGCCCCAAAAAGCGGACTCCTTTAGTACAACCCCGGTATTTTCAGAGCCGGGTCCCTGAGGCCCATCTTCGAAGATCCGGGGCACTACCACGGCTTCCTGCATCGCCTCGATGTGCCCAGCTCTGGCCTCATCCTGGTGGCGGCGAGCCGCCAGGATGCCTGCAGATTTTCTTGTTCCACTCCGAGGTTCCAGCCTAATTGCTAATCGTAGACAAATGGATGGGATAAGGCCTGAAAGTCTCCTGTCTTGGGCCTCCTTGGGCCAACGGAGCACCTATGCACCGCGCAGTGACGGTTTTAAGTATTTGTTTAACATACGTGTCTTCGAAGGGCTAGATTGCTAGAGTTAGTTGATACAGGACGGCAGTGCAGTGAATAGCTTTGACTAGTTCTCGTGGCAGCGGAGGTCTGGACGCATAAAAGTGCCAGAGCCAAGGCTACGAAGCCTACTACGATCTGCAGGTCCAGCTGCACTCTGGCCAAGTACAGCGTGACTACGCCGTCCTACACCATGGCCGTTTACCTGTTTCCGTGAATCAGGTGTGGATGGGCAAAGTCCAGGGATAGGAGGATTTTGCTTGGGTGTTTAGAGGCAAGGAGAGTCCGTCCCAAGGTCTTCGACAGGCTATCAAATTCAAATTCCGATGCAGTCTTACTCCAGGGAAGGGATGTTTGTCTGCATGCTGTCACGAGTTACTGCGTTTAGAAATTGCTGTCTAGTGTGACCATGGAATACGTCTGAAGAGAGGCTCTGAAGCTGAACATGTTTGCCTACATCTCGTCTCTTCTCCCAATACAAATATAAGGTGATAGAAAGATGCAATGTAGCACCGACCAGGAAGCAAGCTGCTTCACTGCCTGTTGGCACCTAAGAGGTGGACAGCCGCCTGCTCTGGCATGGAGATGGGCCTACCCTTGCGGGGGGTCGGGGGAAGCCTTCGCGAACTCTGGTCGCTCTCCAATGGTACGCAGAGAGCGAGGTGAGGAGGGATGGGCAAGCATGCTGAGGTAGTGAAAGCCATGCTTGCTCACGTGCTCGGAATAGGTTGTTGTTGTAAAGTTTGCTTTGCTACAAGCTGCGAACGAACATTTTCCAAGACCGTCTGAAAGAGTTTGTTTTCAAGCGGCAGCGAAAACCATTCAGCAGCCTTTGTATTCCACGGTCTTTGATCACCAATCATATCGCCACCTATCGCCCCATCCGCAACAGGCGCTGCTGCCAACGAATATGCCTTCCCACTAGCAGGATAACACAGCCTTGCTTCATTCAGCAACTCCGCTATCACCGGCATGATGGTTGAATCACAACCCGCCTATAGCCGGGCTGCGACCAAGAACTCTGTTACCAGCTCATTTGGTGTGCCTTCATTTTCCTGTCGGAGCCTGGTCCAAAGCACTAAGCTTTTGAAAGTCTTAGGCGCGGCATTCGATTGATGTTGGCTTGGTTATGTACTTCATTTGGGCCGCAAGTGTCGTCTGAACAAGGTCCGAACCTCGCCTGGAATGCTTGAGATTGAGTGCTGAGGCCTTAAGCCGCAATGCAAAGCGAAGTTTGGCCAGGTCGGCTCCGTCAGCCAGTCCCATCTACAGATTTGCACGGGCCGGAAGCACCAGAGCCTCAGCTTTTCGCACTGTCAGGGCCATTCGAGAACCAGCATTGGGCTGCTCGTAATGCACAGTGGCCCGCTTACTAGGTCCACTGATCCCTAGCGTGGTGCGAAAACAGAGTGAGGATAGCAGTATGGCGATGATGGCGGATGCGGATGGTGATGAGGATGGAACGGAAGCTGTGGGGATCCCACGACCGCAACCCCTGACAGATGTGCGTGACATCACATCAACTTTTCAAAAGGGCATCGTCGAATGACTTGAAATAGACATACCTGACATACCTTACACATACACGTGCACGGGGACCCCACGACCGCAACGCAAGACGTCGATACGAAACCCCATCAACTTTCAGAAAAGGATCGCCGAATGAGTAGCACCGTAGCATCGTAGGCCGGAAAAGCCACGACTTGGGAACGGCTTGAATTTGCAAACGCCTTCGCAGAATCCTAAACAACATGATCTACGCTGTCGTCTTTGCGCGAACTTGCGGTTTGCAGAGCGGTGGTGTCCCGCTGTAAATTACTGTTGCGCGCAAGGAAGCCGCTCCTTCCCTCTCCATTGCCTGAATGCGGGGAGCAACCTTCCCTTCATTGCCTGATACACAGTGAAAAAAACCCCTCGAAGGGAGCCCCTGCATCCCTTCATTGCTTGTTTCGCTCCGAATCCATGCAATCAAGGGAGCCCGTCCTTCCCTTCATTCACTGTTTTGCCCCAAAGCAACGCAATGACGCAATTGTAGGGCTGGCCTGGTGGCTGGAAGGCGCGCGCACAGTGGACAATAAGAGGCGAGTTTTCCCAGCGGAAGGGTCCAGAGCAACACGCGCAGAATGAGGTTCGCGATAGTCTGTGATGGTGAATGAAGATTCAGATCCTATGGCGCAGCGGACGCAGACGGTGATGATGAGGATGAAGTGGAAGGTTGTGCAGGGATAGGAAGATCATCATGCTCTCAGCCCCGCGCCAAAACTCCGAGGATCCGGAGCCACTTGGCCCACATCGGCCACCCGGTGCTACGTGATGGAGCCTATGCACCCTGGCCCCTGAAAGATCATCATAGACTTTCATATATACTTTCAGACTGTCTTTGTAGTTGGGATGCCTTTTGTGGGTGGGCGCCAGCCAGCCACCCAGATAAACAGAACCACAGCCTCTCCCACAGCCAGGGCAATGAATCTAGCTGGCCCGGCACGTTTCGGAAGGCAGGTGTGACCGCAAACAACCCCATTGCTGACCAAGAGCTCAAAAGTGACTGCGAGTTTAGGCCATGCACTGCCTTGCTGCTTCGGAGGCAAGCTTCTTCACCTCTCGTGGCGATGCGGCGATTTGTGCCCCTCGAGTTGCAGGACTAGCTCGGGTTTGCCGGATTAGGAGGTGAGGTTCAGTGTGTCCAGGCGATGCAAAAAGGGGGCAAGGCGTAGACTGAAGGGTTTGGGGTTGAGGGAACACAACAGAAACAGTCAATTACAGGAGCTCTCGCCCAGGCTGCTAAACCAAGAGATTTGGTTCAAGAGTACAAACCCGCGGCAACAATAGTAGAACAAGTAGTGCAATCAAGCGCAGCGTTAAGAACGAACATCGCCAGAAGAAATAGCGCACACATCACTGGCAGAAAAGCGCAGTCAGGCGAACTTTTGACCTGAGCCCCCAAGCACACTGATCTGCATCAGCATCACCACCCCGCGACCTCGCAGCGATTTTAGGCTCGGCATTGGCTGCATCGGCACCGTTTGGCTTTCCGAGACAGAAAGGCTCGCCTCCGCGAGATCCTCGAGGCCCAGCTACACGGGGGGCGGGGCCTTGCCAAGTATGCAGGCATTAAGGGGTTACTATCTTTATATATCTACCTATCTATCTATGTATCTATTTATGTATCTATCTCTCTCGCTCCCTCTCTCTCTCTCTCTCCATATATATATATATATATGGAGAAAGGGTCTCGGGAGCGAAGCGCATGCCTGCAATGAGTGGGATCATGTTGGTTGGGTTCGAATTCTGTTGCGTCTGAGGGGCCTGGACTTGAGAACGGTGCGTTTATTTTTTGTATGCGGTGTCCCGATGTGATCTCGAGCACTTGGCAGGATTTAGGCCTCTTCAGGTCCTCTGATGCACAATTTAGAGCTGGAGCGGGAGCTGCCGTGAACCGTGATGGGCATGCAGCGTCTCATCACATACCCTTGTCTTCTCCTCACCCCGAAACCCCGACCCCCAAAGCCTCATCTCTATCTGTACAGGCTTTTGCCACTACCTAAGCCAGGCCCTCCCTTTCGATCTGCGGGAGTCGCTGGGGCGGCTCCGACATGTGGTGGAAAGCAAAGCGCACGGGCACAGAAACAAGGTTGCGTCCATCTACAGCAGAGAGATGGCGAGACAGAGCTGTGCCCGCGGGTGTTATGCACTTTCAGCTGCGTGATTTGACTTTCTCTTCCAGGGTTTAGGAGTTTAGGGCCAACAGGACATTGCTAGGATAAGCGCACATGTAGGCATCGTGACATGCAAGAGTTGAGTTGCCGGTCTCTTTAAGCACGGTGGTGCGCACAGTAGGATCTTTATCTTCTAGGCCCTTAAAAGCCCTCAGTTGCGTTGGGTTCGGACAAACTGGGCAGGCGGAGAAAAAGCCCTGAAGCTCGTCCTTGCTAGGTAAGAGACAAAAAAAGCCTTCAAACCGCAAAAAAGCACTAAACCGCATACCGATTGGCTGAGTTTCGAGGTCCTGTCCGCGCTGCATGGCCGGCCCAGGGTCCCTTTGCAGGTGCTGCCAATGCCACGCTCTCCGCCCAGCGGCTTTGACGGGGTGGTTCTCCAACCCTTCCGGGCTTGTGGAGTTGAGGATGTGGGGGGCCTCCAAATTTAGGGTCCACATTCTCTATAATCTATTCGTATTGTAGGAGTGACGTACCGGACTCTTGTGCTGACCTCAGGCATATAGACCGGTGAATTAGAAGCTGCCCTGCCTGCTTGAATTACAACTGGTTTGATGGGCCTTTGCAGCCTCGTCATACGTCTTTCGCAAGGTGTAGCGCTTAGGAAGGCATGCAGTGAAGGGTGAGTTTGAACTGTGCACTACTGAACGGCGGTCGTTGAAGGAAGCGCGACCGTGCGACAGGCCAAGTCTCGCACTAAGGTTAGTCATCAGTAGACATGCAGTGAACTGCGTAAGTTTTCGTTTAATTGTTGGAGAAAACGGATGAAGATTAGTTTCTCCAGCGGCAGCTGTGACTGTGACAGTTACACTTTCGAAACGACTTCCTCGTGCCGCATGCTGCCACGTTTTGACGCCGGCCGATCCAATTTCTCTGTAAGCGCTTTCCACGAGCAGAGCAGACAAAGGAATCAGTGAAGTGAAAAGGTTGCTGCACCTTCCAAGTTTGCAGAAGCGCCACAACTTCCTGGCAGAGTGTATGCCGTGCAACAGCTGGCCCCCAAAGACCCTGCAAGCCTGCGTGGCCCAGCGTATCCTCGCGACTGATGGCTCTGGCAATGTGAGCTGGCGCGTCTTCGTCAGCACGGCCTGGGGCTCGAGCAATTGCGCTCCGAATTGATCTTAACTCCAGGGGGCTTGGCTTGAATTCTTGGGCCGAAGAAGTAGCACAGGTTTCTGTGACCGAGATTTTGAGAGATCCCTCGAAGACCCTCGAAGCTTTGTTCCCTCGTCGCGCTGCCCTCCGAGCCGGCTCGAGCCGCAGCGCACCGGGAACCGGGGGGGCACCTCAGAGCCATGGCGGAACCCGAGGCTCCCGGTACTGCCTTGGGCCTTGGGGTGTTTGCTTTTGATTCAGGACTCCGTTCTTTGCTGACCCAAGACATCCCAGAAAGCCTACTACGTAGTCCAACGGATGAGTTCCTTGGACTGGTTGTTTCGGTTCCAGGCCAAGCGGCAGAAGACCGATGCCCCCGAGGAGGAAGCGCACCGATCCTAGCGAACTTTGGGGCGGCCTTGAGGGCTCTTGAGGTTTCGCCCGAATGGCCAACGCCTAAAGGTTTCAGAGGCTTGTCCCAAGCTATCCGCTTGGAAACAAATCTAAGCCCCGTATAGCGACGCCTTTGACCCTGAGCATGAAGGTGATGGGATCAACGATGCACTCCGACTCCATCTCTCTCCCTCCCTTTCTCTCTCGCTCTCTCTCTCTCTCTCTTTGTCTCTGTGCTTTGAATGTGATAGGAATGTAAAGTAAAGGTGTTGCTGCGACAACTTTCATGCCTTATATGACCAAATGCATGTATGCATGGTAATGTTATGCAGACATGAGTGCACACATTCAACAAGCATAGCATACGCAACGCCCATGTGCGTGCACACACACATATGTATGTTCGTACATACGTGCATACATACAAACAGCCTTACAGACGAGCATCATGGCAGACAGACAGACAGACAGACAGACAGACAGAGATACAGGCACAAGCAGACAGACAAACATAGTACATGCACACGTGCATAATGCGCACGCGCGCACACTGAACACGCGCACACACGTGCGCCCATGCATGCATACATACACGCTTACATGCGTACATGCATATACACCGTGATTTACGCACACACACACACATATATATATATATATATATCTATATATACACACACGCACATATCTCTGTGAGTGTTTGTGTGCATAAGATGCTGTCCTCGCCGCGCCTAGGCCGCCGCCCGAGCTCGAGACCGACGCCAAGCCGAGCTCTGCGAAGCCGTGGCCTGGCAGAGCGACTTCGGGTATCTGGGCACTGGGGCACTCTGAGCTTAGGCGGAAATTGGGATTTAGAGGTTTAGGATTTCGGCCTGGATACCCGAAATTCCCGGCCCCGCCACCAGGTTGAAGAGCGACGTGGGCTTCGACCTGCTCCTTGAGCTGCAAATGCGTCGGATTTGATTGGGGTCAAATAGAAACGGTTTCGTCGCCAAGGGGTAGCCGGCTTCGGGTGATCGCAACCTGCGAGGGTCCCTGCACGTCCTTCCAAAGGGTGCTGCTAATGGCTAAGCTTCCGAAACAGTAAGATGATCTTTCTGAGGTCCGAATGCACACTGAACTGCATACCCTCGCTCGGCGGGCGAGTGCTGATGCAGCTTACGGACGGTGGAGTGCAGTACCTCATAGCAGGCCGCGACCGCGCTTTATTCTGAGTATCCTTTGTCCCGCTTGCGTGTGTGTGTGTGTGTGCGCGCTCAAAGTGTCGAAGTCCTTAGTGTGCGAAGTCGGCTGCCACTGCTACCAGGGGCAAGGGCCAACATGGGCATCAAGAAGGGCCGCTACCTCTACGAGGTCAAGCTGGTGGAGTCTCTCAATCCGGGTGAAGGCTGGCCCGAACAAAGCCGGAAAGTTAGCACGCCAGAAGGATGCAGCATGAACGGGAACGCTCGTGTCCGGGATCGTTGGGTCCGTCTTAACTTGGAAAGGCTCCCCAGACTCCTCGGCTCCAGTCTGTCTTAATCCCAGCAAACATTCCGGCCTCTGGCCCCTGCCCTGCCACCAACCCCAGCTCCGTGCGCAGAGGCCCGCAGGGATACAGAAGAAGCCACTTTGCTCAAACAAAGCATCTAGAGGAGATGTGCTGTAGTCTTGCCGTTATGTTCGTTGATTGTGCCTGCTTTCGTTTGGTCGGGGTTGGATGATTCTTGCTAGAATGAGGGCGGACGACTCGCGACATGTGATAGCCACTCTGGAAATGCAACCCTCGCAACGGATGACATCTGGCTCTTTTCTGGACTTCGGACCGGTTCTTGAAGTCCAAGTCCTCAGGAGCACCGTTGCTTGACACGGAATAGTGGGTGTGGGGATTTTTCTTCGTCTGCGTGCTGGCCCGAGGCACTGGAAGAAATATAGTGAAGCTCGGCTTCTCGACAGAGGCCGCGGTTCGCTTCACAAGCTGTGTATCTATCTATTTGTCATATCGCATCTATCTACCCATCTTCCCATCTACCTATCTATCGATCGACCTCTATCTATATGTCGATCTAAGTCTATCTACGTACCTACCTGTCTGTCTATCTATCTATC